GCCGTGTGGCCAACACACAGCCGATCCCTTTGCAAGTCCTCCCGCGCGTTGGCCTCCAGCGGCCCGGACCTGCAGAAAAATGAGCCTTGAATCATGCAAAGGGCATCCAAGATTGCACCTGAGAATACCATCAAACTCGCGTTATATGCCGCGCAAGACTCTGGTGTCGACTCCGGCCGCGCGAACAACACAAGGCAGGGCTTGTCGATCTCGCCGGCTGGCTACATCGGCCTCGGGTGGTGCGAGGGAAGGGAAGGGTGAAGCGCGAGCCAGCGGGAGGGCAGCTATGCAAACGTGTTAGCAAGGTTACAAAGTACAAGATAATATAAGCTCACCGTCAATCGGGGACCATAGGGCCGCAACGACAAAGACAGACCCGATGCGTTGGGGTAGGTGATGGCTGGGTAGGCTCCCGCGGGCGTCCCATGAGTATGGGCGCGAGCTCAATGGAAGGCGGACTCGATAGCCAGTCGGGCCGTCACGCCCACAAGGTATGAGGGCCGAGTAGTGTCCCGCAGGCGTGATATGAGCGCGAGAGATACTTGATGAGAGACGGGCTGGAGAGCTAGTCGGGCCGTTGCGCCGAGATTGTTGGAGCCGAGAGACCGGCGACACACAGAGGTCATGGTTGAGATGGCCTAGACAAAGATATCAGCGGAAATAGAAGTCAAAGATAACATGAACGTACAAGGCGCCGGCAGCAACAGTGGCGGATCCACTGTGCCGAGGGCGTTGACAGCGAGGGCGTGATTTTTGCCTCCGGCGGCCCGGACCTGTGAAAAAATGAGCTTTAAATCGCAAAAAGAAGGGGTAAAGATGCACCTGAAAATACCATCAAAATCTGATGATATCAATGATCCGGGCGTCGGCAGCCGTCGCAAGCACTGGAAATTGGGTTAGTGGGAGGACAAGAGTGGAGACAAGGAGAGAACAGACCTGAAATGATCTGCCATCAACGACGGCTGTGAGGCATCAGTTGGTATTGGCGGTGATGCACCAACTGATGCGGCTGATGTTCGGTGATGGCGGCGATGACCGACTGGGTGGAATGGAAGCCAAAGACAGAGCTTTGGCTCCGGAGCCCAGAACAGTGTTGGGCCTCTAGCCATCCAGAGCCTGGAGAAAAAATGACCATGTGAAGGTCAAACATGTACGCTGGAAGCTGCTTACGTGGGAGGTAGTGATGCGCCATCAATCCCGGCAAGGTCCGCGGGAGGCTGCAGGCGGGAACCGGCAACGGAGGCAACTGGAGCGAGGGTATGCCAAAAACTGGCAGCACCAAGGCAAGGCACCATGCTAGCCAGATGGCAAAGCAGCGCCGACGGCACGATGGGTTGATGCGCCGACTGATGTGATGTTGGGCGGCTGGGCGATGGCGGCCTAAGTGCCGCCAAAGACAGGGCTTTGGCTGCGGGAACATCGAGGCCCAGAACAATGTTGGGCCGGCGGCCGTCAAAACCCTGAAGAAAAAAATGAGCTTTTGAAGGTCAAGAATGTGCGCCGAAATTTGCTTACGTAAGCATCAATTGATCCGCAATGACGATCAAAATCGCTAATTTCTAGCCAAACAAGTCAGTCTACAGGTTGGAAAAGGAGATAGAGACGTACCACGACCAACCAGCAGCGTCCCCATCAGTGTTCAGCCAAAGGTCCCCCGCGCCGGTCGGGAGTGGTCGGACCGTCCGGACTCCGGAGCTTTAGATGCGAAAAAAGACCTATCCAAGGCATGGGTCAGCAAAGTTAGATTCAAAACGCATATCAGCATACCAGTATTAGTTCCGCGTCTGAGCACCGGTTCGTCATACCACCATGGCCTGCGATATCGCTGACCAGCGGTGCTCCGTGCCGGCATGGATTACCGCTCGGGAGTCAGCGGTAGATCCAAGAGGAAGCCTAGCAAAGGTCAATGATGTGAGACTCAAAAGAAAAGATTATACCAGCATAAGTTCTATGTCCGAGCAGAGGTTCCCCCGACCGCCATAGTTTCCCGCTCCACCAGCGATGACAACGAGACAAAGAACCTATCGAAGGTCAGTGTCATGGATGGAAAGGAATGCATGTGACTTACAAGCAGAGGTTCCCCGTACATTCACGCAGGTGCGGCCACTAGAGCTCCAGGTTAGCTCTCAACACACCCCAGAAGAGTAACGAAAACTTACCAGCCTTGTACACTGGCACCGACATCAGTTCTGGATATTGGCAGAGGTTTCCGACACAAGACCGGCACGGGTTCCTGCTCGAATGGCAAACAGCGGCTGTGCAAACAGGTCAGCGATGCTGGACGTAAGTTGCTAAAGAAACATACAACTCCGAGTCGTACGAGCAGACACCCATCATCGTGGTTGGCCGCCGCCGCTGCCACGCAGAGGTTCCCGCTCCAATACCGACATGAGACCGCCGAGCAAACACAAAATCTGCAAGCGGTAAGTTAAGGTCAAGAAGAGGTAATTGCGGCCATACCTCGAGGGCAAAAGTAGGCGCACGGGTATGGTGTGAAGATCTGGAGGAAGGTGTGCAGCAGAGGAGCTCGGGTGAACGCGCCAGAGCAGGTGCGCTGTCGGTTTCTTGGGAAGGCAAGTCAATGACTCAAGCTTTTGGCTGACGACAACTTGAATGTGAGAAGGCAAGAGATCAAGGGAACGGCCAGACTCACCGCGTTCAAGTTCATGGGCAACTTGAAGCATCAGGATGTCGAAGCGACATTCAGAGGCGAGTACCCCAGGCACAGATGGCTCTGGGGATGGTGTAAGGGGAAAGCATGAAGTCAAGAGGGCTTGCAGACGTACCGGCACTTGAATGGGCGCGTTGAGCACCACGACGGCGAGGAAAGGTGGTGGTGGAGTGCATTCAACCAGTATTTGATGTGACGGTCAAATCGTCACGTCAACAAACGAAGCTGCGGTCCAAGGGCGGACTCGGAGCGCACGTGTGGAGGGAGATAGAGTGGTGAGTTTGCGTCACTGTCCCGGTTTGCCCGACGTGATCGTAGCTGTCGAGAAGCTTGCGGGTATGGTGCGGAGTGGGGTTGATAAGGCGGACTCGGGTGGAAACAAGGTGTGTGTTCAAAAACTTGAAGTTGCTGCTTGGGGGTGAGCCAGGTAGTAGCATGAGGTGGGTGCCAGCATGAATGCTACTGGGTGATTCCTACTGTAATGCTTCAAGTCTTTCACACTGGCAGACACTGGCGGCCCGCCGCGCCGCAAGTAATTCGGAAGCCAGCTCAGTGGCGCCTCGGGGAGCAATCGGGCGGCGGAAGGATGGAAGTGTGGGCGTGGGTAGTGCGGTTAAAGAAGGGAAGCCATGCACGTTGCGAGGTTAGTGACGTGCCTGTGGCAGGCGGGCGTGGGGTGGCGATATGTACGCCCGAGCGACCTTCTCAGCACGTCGTCCTAGTGCTATTGGTGCTCTTCCTGCTTGTCTTCCCTCTCGAGCTGTTCTACTACAGGCATTTTCACACCCTACATTTTCATCTTTTTTGTTTATAAATTTTGACTGGGAAAACCTTGGACATGAATGTGCGCGATGCCTCGCATACTCGTATGAAAGTCACGCGCATCGCCTGCATTCCCTCTGCAGAGAATTTTGCAAAGAACACACAATTCCCGATCGGGAAGTTGGCCCGGTACCTCTCGGGCTCTGCGCCTTTCTCACCGATGTGCAAGCATATTTCAGATAGGTTCTGAACATTCTTTGTCTCCGTCTGCCGAGAACTGTCCGAAGCTTATCGCGGCGCGGGATACCATCCAATTTGACACACACATAAAACAAGCGTTAGGTGGAGTAAGTCACGCACTGGCGAAGTGTGCTTCGAAGGCCGATTACATAAGGCGAGGAACGGATATCTTACCAACCCGCCGCACTTTGTCCACTTGACAGGTCTGTCACCGCCTTCGATGGCCACCTTTCTCCCGATGACGTGTGGACATGTCCGAGAAGCCGCTCTTTGGCCACCGCTATAAGTTTGTTAGTCCCCACCATCTTCGCAAATTCACTCTCTACCTTTCCCCCCCCATCTGCCTTTCCTCTACTCCCTCCCTCCCTCACAATTTCCCCCAGCCATCGTCGTCGCCCTGCTCATCGTCCGCTCGCCTCCAGCTCGCCTCCGGCCCACCCGGTCGTCGGTCGATCATCACGTGTGGTTGACTTTATTGTCGTCATCGGTGTCGTTGTGCTGACCGTTGTGTACAGGCCGTCGTCTCCTCCATCTCCCTCCTTCCCTCTGTTCCCTGTTCATCATTCCCTCCCCTCGCTGACTTGATGGAAGCCGTAGCGCAGACGATGTCAAGCCTAGGTCATTGTTTGCGCTACGGCTTCCCTCAAGTTCACCGGTGGATACTCCCCTTCTTCATTCCCTTGCTGACTGTCGTCCACAGGCGAATTGCGCTCGTCATCGCCGATTACTTTTCGCCTTCAACATCATCGCCCGTCCCCTTGGCGTTGTCTATCTTGCTGGGGCTGCAACGCAGGTACACAAGCTGGTGGTTGTCGTGGCTCGTTGACGGAGTCATCATAGTCCTCGATGGGTGGAAATTGTGGTCGGAATGGTTCCACCCTTGGGCAAAGGTGCGCGTTGTCTTCTGCTGTTGGCTTCATCGCTGATTCCGAAGTCAGTTCTCGTGCCCGCCTTCGTTGAATATGACCATCGTACCATTCTTACTCCCTTCGCTCCACCTCCCCGCTGACCATCGTTTACAGGCCCCAACTGTGCTGTCTCCTCGGAGGTCTTGAAGCTCTTGATCTTTGCTTGCTGACTTCATTTCCAGGCGTTGTCGTTGTCGGGTTCCACCATAAGTGTGTGTCATTACCGTCTCCTTCCTGCCTGCTGACGGTTAATTTCAGACCAGCCTTCGTTATGCAGCACGTACCATTCCTGCTGCTTCGTCTTCAAGTTCTCGCTGACCATCATCTCCAGTTAGCTCGGGTTGGCTGTCGACCTTTCCCTGTCGTTCGCAACCGAAGTCGTCGTCAATGACAAGACGGTTTTTAGTCGGTAACCTTCCATGTTTGGACTCTACTTCGTCATCTCCCCGCTGACCGTCCTTCACAGTCCTCTTGTCTCGTTGGAGTCGGCGGGTCGCTCTGGACGGTGCAATCGCGGCCAGTTATTCGTCAAGCTGCTGGGGTCAGTCCCCGTCTCGCTGTTCCTCAATATCGTTGCTTACCGCCGCCCAGATCGCCTCCTTTCGCCCAAGACTGTTGTCTATACCCAGTTTGCAAAGTGTCCATCGTGTTGTTGTTCTTGCTGACCGAGTTTTGCAGGTCTATGGCTGGAATTCGGCCAAGCGATGCCTTAGCGATAGTCGTCGAAGACAGGGCGCTTGGCTTCGCGATTTACCTCGAGGATGGCGCGCTAAACGATCCAATCGCGGCCTGTTATTTGCAAGACTGCTGGGGTAAGTCCCAGCATCGCTCACTGTCAAGGTCGTTGTTTACCACCACCGTTTCGTCCAGAACTGTTGTCCATCTCCAGTTTGCAAAGTATCCATCGTGTTCTGGCTCTTGCTAACCGAATTTTGCAGGTCTGTTGCTGGAATTCGGCCCAGCGATGCCTTTGCGACAGACCTCGAAGACCACGCGCTTGCTTTTGCGATGGCGCGATTGAGGCCGCGCTCGACAGCACATTCGCTGCGGGCGATTCGAAACACTGCTGGGGTCAGTCTCAGCTTCTCTCGCTTCTAATATTGCGACTTACCACGAAACAGAAGGCCTTGTTTCGCCCAAGACTGTCCTTGATGCCCAGTTTGCGAAGGATCCTCTTGAAGTCGATATTGTTGACCAATTTTTGCAGGGTTTTCGCTGGGAATCGGCCAGGCGAGCCGTCCGCGATAGGCGTCGAGGACGGCGCGTTTGGGGCCGCGCTGAGCGGCGCAATCGCGGCTGGAACAGGTAAGACTTTGGCGGGTTTATTATGATGTCGCTCGCGCTGAAAGCCAGTCGTTTAGGCCCTCCCTTGCGAGCAGCAGCGCCCGATGCATCCCGAGTTCGAGTTTGCGCCTGATTGGTCTTGTCTTGGCTGCTGCTGATCAAGTTTTGCAGATATCTGCCGGGACTTCGGCCAGGCAACGCGTTTTCGATGGCGCTTCGATGTGCCGGCTTGCCCAGTTGCCGCGGTGAGGCTTGCTGGCAAGACTGTGAGCGAACGACACTCGCCAGACGTAGGTCTTACTGTGGCCCTACCCCTCGTCCTTCACCCAGCGACTAATCTTCGTTCGCAGGCCGCTTGGACAACGGAGTCAGCAAGCACACCACTTGTCAACGAGCTGTACCTTTCTCATCCACCCTATTTTCGCCTTCGCAGACTGACTCTCGTCCACACATCGCCGCAGAAGTCCCGTTTACGATTGTCGCCCAGGCTGGCCATGGTGTTTGGCTTGTTCTTGACATTGCCGCTGACGAACGCGTTCATTAGCATCGATTTGGCGAGTTGCGAGAGCGGCACGGACGCTCGTGGCGCTTCTGCATTTTGTTGTGTGGGTTAAAGATGGCGTAGTCAGAGATCCGGCCCGCAGTACTATAAATTTTGCGGTCGCGCTGCCGAGCGAGCACCAGTCCAGCCTGCCGGTAGACGCCGCGTAGGTGGCTGGCGTTGAGTCCGACCGCGGCCTGTGCTGTAAGCGCGGCTTTTGGGCAGGCTGGTCGGGGGTAGCAAGCGGGAGGAAGAAGAGAACGGGCGTGATTGGTCAGCAACACGTGCCCGGGTGACGGACCCGGGACGCCGGCTGCGGTCCCACGCTGCCGCCACTGCTGGGTATGTCAGCGCTCGTCTTGTTCCCGTTTGCCTTGTGTGCTCACTATCAGTGCAGAGTCGTGCGGCGGTGTCTTCAAGTTGTCAGTGTTGCAATGTAGGTGCATATGTTGGTTGTGGCCGTGGGCTCTGTCGCTCTGACGGCCTCGTCATAGTCGTTAATAGGTGAAGTCGCTGTTGTCGTGCCTTCACCATTGGGCAAAGGTGCGTGCTGACCTTTGCTGCCGGCTATGTTGCTAATTACGAAGTCAGTTCCTGTGCCCTACTCCGCTGGACATGATTGTCGTACCATTCTGAATCCATTTGCTCCACCTCCCCGCTGACCATTGTTTGCAGGCCTTGACTGCGCTCTCTCGTCGGAGGGTCTTGAAGGTCTGCTACTTCTTGATCTTTGTTCACTGCCTTCATTTCCAGGCGTCGTTTCCAACGCAGGCGCGTGTCGTTACCATCTCGTTCCTGCTGACCGTTAATCTTAGAACAACCTTCGTTTGGCGTTGCCAACGAGCCACCACCCCTTGCGCAGCACGTACCGTTCATGCTGCCCCACCTCCTCACTGACCATCGTCTCCAGTAGGCTTGTCGGGAGTCAGCGCCAATGCTAGTAAGCAACCTTATGGTTGTTTCGGCATCATGTTGCTGACCGTCTTTAGGCCTTGTTGGAGTCAGAGCGTGTGCTTCGTTTTGAACTCCTAGCGCCGGCGGGAAGCTGCTCCTCGCTGCCTTGGTCGCTGCAGGCAGGAATAGTACCTCAGCGCCGTCTTCTCCTCCGAATTTGAATCGTGCTTACCGTCAGGTCAGAGTCGTCCCTCCCTCTTCAACTCGAGCAACTGGTCCTTGCCGTGGTGGTGATGCAGATGCATATGCTGTTGTTGCTTCAAGCTCGCTCGCTGACGAACTCATTGCAGTTCTTGATCGACGGCGCAAGTATCGCAGGAGCCGGCGTCGAAGGCGGTAATGTCGTGCTTGCCGGGGTTTTCTTGCTGACGTGTTTTCCCAGCTACGGCACTCCATTCGCGTGCTGATCCTCGTTTACAGGCCTCGCGCGTGCCGACCCGTAGTGCGTGTTTCTGTCCGTTTTTGCCCCCGTAGCTAACCCCCACATTCAGCTTCCGAGGGCGGCACAGACATTGGAGCGCGGCGCTGCATGTTGCGGGACGGGTTTGCCGAGTGCCAGTGCGGGAGGGAGGAGTCAGAGGTTTGGCGGCAGTAGATAGTTCTTGACGTTTTGCTGCAGTGGTGAGCGAGCGGCCCCAGCTAGCCGGCAGCGGCAGCGTGAGTGGCCCGTCTTGACGCAGGACACGGCCCATGTTGCCAATTCGGCCTGTAGGCGGGCTGGTTGGCGGGAGGATCGGGGAAATGGAGGAAAGTGAGCGTGGTTGGTCAGCGACACGTGCCCGGGTGCCGGACCCGACTCGCCGGGCACGGTCCCACGCTGCCGCCTCCCTGCGTTTGCCTTCGTGCTCGACGCCCTGCAGCACGTCGATAACGTCTCCCCTTGGATCTGCTGCTGCTTACATTTCCCAAAGTCGATGTAGCATTGCGCTCTCGGTGCGTATTCCGCTCTTCCTCGGTTCGCTCGTTGGCTGACGTCGACTAGATTTCCCTCCATCCCGCGATTCACCCTCCGCGCCCGCCCGTCGTTGTGCATCGCAAGATGGGCTTGTCGCTGCTGGGAGAAAGAGTGTGTCAGCGCTCATCTTGTCCCCGTTGGAATCGTGCTTACCATTATTGCAGAGTCGTCCACTGCTATATCAAGTCTCGCGGCAGTGTCTTACCAAGAATGTCAATCGAAGCCCCAGAGACAGCCCGCACGATGTCGCTGCGGCGCATACCAGTACCCTGTGCGTCACGGCTCCAACTCGTATGCGTAACTTCTGGCGCAGTCAAAATTCACAGCGTATAAAGGCTTTCATCCATGAGCTTTCCTCCAATCCATCCCCGCCGCGAATAGGCTACTACTACCGCCTCAGGAAGAATGTTAGGGACCCAAATCGACCGCACGTTCGTGCACGCACTAGCACTCTACCGCGACAAGCCCATTGAAGAGATCTCTGACGCGGAGGTTGCGCGTGTCGCCGCCGACTTGAGGGGTCTTCACAAAGAGGAGGTCGACGCGCGTCTGAAGACCGCCAAGGCAGAGGTCTCTGCGCTGCCTGATGTCAGGTACGCCGAACTCACTCGAGACCGGCTCTGCCTTCTCCATGATTGACTATTTCGGTAGCTCTTCGATAACCGCCAGCCTATATAACGCTACGGGAAACAGTGCGTGTCTTTTATGTGCGTACTAATCGAGGCCCTAATGGAAGACAGCGATATACATGAAAGAGAGCGTGTCTTATTATGGCAAATTTGCGGAGGACCGTTTACCTGACAAGGTAATCCACAACGGGTGCTGGACCGACTTTGTCCATTATGTCGATGCATACGGTAACTTCAGATTTGTTTCTGCGAGCAAGATTTGAATGAATTTGGTGATTTAGTCTCCATTGAAGGCTGTTCAGGCGCAATCGTGTACCAACACGAAATTGGGAAGGAGTTCTTCATCGGTGTGCCTATTTTCAGTTTATCCTATCCCTACTCGATTGATCCTTACTGTTAGGGTGGAAGGTGCGCGTAATATGGAGGGAAAGATAGCACTATACTCACCGGCTCAATGCTCTATTAGAATCCATCGTACGCCATTTTCTATGCGCAGGCAGACCAACCTCTCATCGTATTTAGCGACCACGTCTACCCATCACAGGTTATTGTCGAAGTTGGCGGCCCCGACCACTGGTGGAAGATTGGCACCAAGGAGTACATGCAAAACTTGCTCGACGAGGTCGACGAGGCGAGCAGCTACGGCTCGGAGAGTGATGCGCTTTTCACGGTTCGTCATGTTTTATTCGTCTGGCGACAAAGCTGTCTCGATTTTGACCGAATGCGCTCGCAGGTCTCTGGTATCACGAGCAATGAGCGCCATGCGTCGGTGTTTTATGTGCTCTTGCCGACGTCCGACACGCTCAAGTTGACGGTGTAGCTACCTTGGTAAAGACAATTTGTATTAATAACTGTGCCGTCGACTTTTAAGATTGATTCAAATCCTAGACTGATAATTGAGCACTGTACTCGGCATGAGCCAGCCGCTGTGGAATTCATACTGCTTGTTCATGGCTGGGTTCGAAACCTAGTGCATCGCAGCACCGGCGGAGCACAACGGCCCGGCTGCGTTTCGACTAAAAATATACACTGCTTGGCATCAACGACGTGACCCTCTTCGTTACCAACACCCATCTCGTTGCCAACACTCGATTTAGAGAGTGGAGATGAGAGGCCGCGGCCCTACCTGCCATTGATATACGCGTCAGTAGGTGCTTTCCTTGGATGCAAAGCACTTACTTACCTTGGCTGCAGCGTTCCGAATTCAGGCCCGCGATAACGCGTCCTGTCCAAGGCCTGTCGCTCTGTGTCAAACATAGAGATGCTCCAAAGCCACAAGTTATTTAGGCTTCGTTTCTGCGACGATCTTCGGCACCGCATGCCCACATGTTGTGCTATCGTCCTGCTGACCACTCGCCAGCGCACCCGCCGATGGAGCTATCTGCGTCTATTCTGGCGCGCTGAATACGAAGCAATGCATCATCTGCGCAACATTTGTCGATTCTAGTCTGCGATAAGCCCGGCGGAGGGTCTCCAGCATCACAAATCAGCTTCTCTCGAGATTTCGGGCTTTGGGCTCCATACTGTGAAGATGGTCAGTCGGTCGCGAAGCAGCGGAGACCGCGTGTATGCACTGCCGCCGTGGGAGGATGGAAATAGAAACATATCGCGTCGTTTGCTCGCGCGGCCGGGCCATATACGCTATTAAAAGCTGGGGAGAGCTAGAGGTGCTTTGTGGTTCCAACTCGGTCCCTCGCTGCGAAGACTTTCCTCTGTGCGTTGTCTATCCCAATGTGTTCCTAATCCTAACTGCTACATAGCTTCTTCCATTTGCCATGCGCTACTCCCTTGCCCTCCTCGTCAGCGCCGTTCTCGCTCCTCTTTCGGCCCTTGCTGCCCCAGCAGCGACCGTCATCGTGCCGGGCGGGCCCAAAGCCGCTGCCGACGTTCACCAAATCCCGGCAGGAGGCCGCATCGCGCACGTGAACGACCAGGTTCACGTCTTCGACGCCGCAGGCAGTATCGTGAAGAAGGTCTCCGTCGGCGTCCGCCCAACACCGGTCCGCAATGCCGTCGCCCCCCTGCAGACCGGCTGGATCACCTATGCCAGCTGGCTCAACCAGGGCTCGTCGCCCATTTCCAGCTTCACGACCACGTGGACTGTTCCCCCTGTTCCCGCGACCAACCATGGCCAGACGATCTTCTTGTTCAACTCCATCGAGCCCAACTCGGGCGATGCCATCATCCAACCCGTTCTGCAGTACGGGCCCAGCGCAGCTGGCGGTGGCTCGTTCTGGGGCGTCGCCTCTTGGTACCTCGTCGGAAATTCCGTCTTTAACACGGCCGTCACGCGGGTCTCCGCGGGCCAGACCCTCAACGGCGTGATCACCCTCACCTCGCAGTCCGGCTCTTCCTTCAACTACGTCACATCCTTCTCCAATATCGCGGGCACATCGCTCACCGTCACCGGCGCCGCGCAGCTCACCTGGGCGACCGAAACCCTCGAGGCATACGCCGTCACGGCCATCTCGGACTACCCCGCCGGCTCGACCAAGTTCTCCGGCATCAACCTCAAGCTTGCGAATGGCGCGACGCCGAGCATCAGCTGGTCGACGGCGCAGGACTCGGCGGAGGGCCTGACGACGACAGTCAACACGAATGGCGCTACGAACGCCGTCATCACGATCAAGTATTAGATGAGATTGTAATTGTACAATGCTACTGATGACTTAAACAAACTCGACTTTGCTCTCAAGTGCTTCACGAAAGATGTACAATACAGAACCGGCCCGGGGGGACAGCCCACGTTACAGTTTCGTGTTATTAGAACAAGTACCGGCTGCTTCGATCGAAGCCGGTGCTATTAGGAGGCGGCAGTACTTTCAAGCATCTTTCGGCATGGTGCGCCCCGAATTCCCACTTCTCGCTCTCAATGTTGTCCAGCATTTACTCCTCTTCATGCCTCTCCGTATTTGAACTGTGGTCCCTTACCTTTTACATCATATCCAAAATCCACCCAGTATTTTTGTACACATCTATGAGGATTTACTATCTGCTATCAGTTTAGTCAAAAGTGGCCACATCACCACAAAGCACTCCTCAATGAGTTCAGACAGATGCTTCCTTTGGACTGACAGTGACATTGATATTACGGTCAAACATGACCTCGAATCGACATTGTCGTACTCGTATCTGAATCTTATCTACACATACATATAAGTAACAAAAACGCCGCAAACAAAACATCCGTTTATACTAGTACTAGTACACTCTCCAGTTAATCCTCAGATCGTCATTATCCCTGGTCATAACATTGGTAACGTCCCCGTCCGCCTCGTACACGTTGCTTAGGTGCAGCACTGTTGTTGTCCTGCCGGCCGTGCTGACCCTCCTCCGTCGAGGGGGAGACCCGCGCCAGGTTTGGAGAGCTTGACGCCGGGGGACTAGAAGCAAGTTAGCGAGCTTGCCTTCTGAAACAAGAGAAACGAGGGCAGAAAGAATAAATAAAGAGGGAAAGCCGGAGCAGAAGTGGAAAACGAAGGACAATGACAAAGGGGTAGGAATATGTGGAGAAAGCGCACTCACCCTTGCATCGTCAAACTTGCCTCCCCGCACCTTGCCGATAATCTCCTCCGCAGCACGCATGAATGCATCTTCAACGCCGTCGCCGCTCCGCGCACTCGCCTCCGTAAAAAGCAGCCCCTCGTCGTTTGCAAATTGCTGGGCCAGCTCTTTGGGTACAGCGCGTGGTATTGCACCTGTAGGTTTCTTTAGTTTAGATCTTTGGTTTGAGAGCGGGATGAAGAAGCCGAAAGGAAGGTAAAAAGCTAGATGTAGAACGGGAGGAGAGAGGGAAACACACCATCGCCTTCACATAGGTCGACCTTGTTTCCTACAAGGATGCAGCTGACATGGGCATCCGCATGCGCCCGGACGTCTGCGAGCCACATGCGGACGTTGTCGAAAGACTTGCGGGAGGTGACATCATAGACAAGCAGGCAGCCTAATTCAACGTCAGAATACGGGACAACACGAGAGGGAGAAAGTGTAGAGGGACAGAAACGCGAAAAGAACAGGGACAATGAATGGACGAGAAACGTGAAGGGAAAAAGGGTGCGGACACGCACCCGCAGCCCCGCGATAGTAACTCCTCGTAATCGAGCGGAACGACTCCGTCCCAGCCGTGTCCCAGCATTGCAGCTTCACAACAGTCCCTTCATGTGGCCCTGGCCCTTGCAGCGTCAGCAGCTTGGACCCGAATTCGACACCAAGCTGGCAGAGTGGTCAGTCCGGTGCTGACAGTGAGGAGTGCGGGCTGGGGGAGAGGGGAAGAGGGTGTGGGAGGGAAAGAAGGCAGGAAGAGGAATACGCACCGTCGGATCCGGATTGGCTAGGAAGCGCTGGTCGGTTAGGCGGACGAGGAGGGACGACTTCCCTACGGCCGCATCTCCTGCACGCGAAGTGTTAGGACATCGTCAGAGGAGAACAAGAAGGCGCGCCAGTAATGATAAACTTGAGCACGTAGTGCCACGCAGGGCTTGCCATACTCTAATCGTCTTAGCTTGGAATCTTCACAAGGTGCTGTCGCTTGTCGTGCCGTATTGGGTGGATCAAGCTTTGCTTGGCGCTCGGGTCGTCGTTCGCGGGGGTAAGATGACGAGGGGGGGAGGATAGTGGATGGGATGGGGGTAGGAAGAGAGCGTGTGTGGGGTGCGGCCGCCGCGCCGTTGACGTTGACGACGGGACCAACGAGGTTATTGCGTAGTGACCCCGAAAAGGCAGACATGATTGCGCGTAATTTACGATGCTTGGGAACTCGCCCATATTTGGGAAATTTCTTGCAATAATACAATCATTGCGCCTTTTCTTGCTCATCATCGCCTCTTGAGCTGCTCACCATCGACCAACGGGAAATCACCTCTCAAAGACTCCGCCCGACAAACAGCTTCAGGCTGCCAGGACCCGCCCTACCGCTTGCTTCATACACGCTATGCCGCCTGAAATTCTCACCGAAATCTTTCTTCAACACATTCTTGCTTCACAGGAGCTTCAGACACACCGTCTCCTCCTTGTTTGCCGCAGCTGGCATACTTTCTGCCTCCACACCCCCGAGCTTTGGGCCACAATCTACCTGACGCGTTGGGATCCCTCGCTGTTTTTTGGCCAGGTGGAACGGTCTGGGACGCGCCTTCTGCACATCGTCGTGGGGCTGCCATTATTCGAGCCTATCGACGCCCGAGCTATGATCGAATCTCTCTTGCTCCAACCCCATCGATTAGGATCTCTCGACTTCAGTGCGCCACATGATGTTCTGGTGCTGCTCGCGGAGGAAATGGCAGTCGTCAAGTTTCCGAATCTCTCGTCGCTTGCCGTATGGATCGAAGATGACCTAAACTCTCATCCCCCAGAATGGAGGCCCCGTCTTCCGTCGAGCCTACTCACCCAAGGACTGCCATCCTTAAAGGAGTTCAATGCCTGGGGGATGTCTGGAGACTACTCCTCCTTGTCGGGTCTTTCTGATTTACAGCTTTTCGACTGTGATGCGTCCATGGATGATATTCTCGCGGTGGTTCGCGCTTGTCCCCGACTTCGCACGCTAGATCTCAACGAGGCAATCAGATGGCTGGCAGTCAGAGGCTCCGTCTTCCACAGGGTTGGCGCAGGTTTTAGTCAAGATCAACGGCAGTCACACAGACACTCTTTCGTCTTAACCATCTCCACCACCGACGATACCGGCTTGCTCATAAGCCCTCTCCGCATAAATATGGGCGTAAGAGCTCCAAGTTCTTCGGGGCTGCCCGCGAGGAAGAGCGAGGGAGACGTGAAGCAGCTTGGCGCTTGTTCGGGCCGATTTTGCCTTCCCTCTTGTTAACCACGCTCATGCGGTCTACAACGTCCGGCCCGCTGGCCTTTGCACACTCCTTGTCCTCGAATCCCACTGGGACTCTCGTTCAGATGCTGGAGGAACATGGCGCCGGTCCCGAGGTGCGTCGCTCAAGACCATTCATTCTCTGCTGCCGCTGACCATCCCGTCCAGCGTTGGGCTGCTTTTCAATAACCCGCTGCGACTCTGGTTGGAAAGAAGGTGGACGGGCACTTGTGGACAAGCTTCAGGGTGGGCAATGAAGAGCGGGGACTTCGGTGGTGGAAAATTGTGCGTGATTTTGCTCTTTTTTTCCACTCCCATCCATGCTTATGCATATGCTAGCCAGATGCGTTGTAATAGCTCCACATTCAAATACTCCGACCATCGTTGCTTGTTAAAACTCGTCCCAAAACATCGTCAACGCGCTACTTCAAAAGACAGTTACATTTCTGCGGGTCTTGCTTTCAGTTTCCGCTTCTCGGGATCTTCTTCCACGTGGGTCTAAGTGATGGTAACAACTGAAAAAGACGTTTGTCTGGTCCAAAGTGAGTTTTTTGACCTGTTAATTCTGTCGTATCACTGACTTTCTGGAAGTGGCGCAAAATGTGGGAACAACCATCTCCTCCGTGTTATTGATTTTGACCCCCCGCCAGTTCTGAGACGACAAGCAAGACCATTTGTTTATCCAAAATGACTCCCAGCACGCAAGACGATGGTTTCGCTGCTACCCCAAACGCGACTTCCTCACGTCTTCCGCCTTTTACATCCCATAGATCATCCTCCCTGGCATCTACTCACTCTACTCCATCGCCCGCCTCTACTCCAGCGTCATTCTGCCCTCTCATTCTCGGGGTTGTAATCGACCTCCTCCTCCCACTGAACATAACACCGTCTGTCTCCATTCTTCGGCTTCCAGACCGCAACTTGAGCTTGCTCAAGCCTATCACTAATGACACAGAGGACGACGCGCTGAAAAACGGCCTCGCGATTGTGTTTTCACGACAAGTCCCTTCATATAGCCTGGACGGCTTTCCTATCAGCCCGAGCCCTTTTCTTCCCGGGCAACGGCTTTCCCGATAACTGGTCCTATCCCGCTATCATGCTCCACCGCTCCAGAAACACCAAGTGGCCCCGTTATCAATGTCGCCATCCTCTTCCTCATCCCACATGCCCTGTCCAGCTTCCACATCTCGTTCGCTGCCGCGGGACCGAATCGCAAGTACGAATCGACTCATGTACATCACAGGAGAACGGCACCCGGCTCATTGACCACCGTCACTCTCGCCTTCTATCTGCTGACACGAATACCACCAACTCAACTTGTTTCCGTCTCCAAGCCTCTGACGCCTCTCGAAATGATTTCGCCGACATTTCATTTGGCGACTCCCTTATACGCCGCAGTCGCGGCGCAATTCTATGGACTAGTAACAGACCCAACTTATTTCCTCCTCCTTTCCCCGACCATATCTCTACATTCAACGTCCCTCCGGCCCTCCTACCCCCCCTCCAGCACAATGGAGGTCTAAAATGCATCGATCGACAATAACGGGCCCCAAAATCGGCATTGTTGCCTTGTCTCAACCATTATATAGCAAAAACAGCATATATCGCTTTCCGCGTGTGTTCTCCCTATACGTCCCTCACAACGACTGGCCCGTACACAACACCATGCTCCTGCATTGCTCGCCTGGGCTCACAGGCGAAATTGCTAGCTCGTTCGAACGGCCGTTGATGTCTTCCCCCTCCCCCGATACGATTGCATGACCACTCCGCCCATCCTTTCGAGAACGTTTCCCTTCTTGTCGACGGGTACCTACCGCCTTAGAAATAAGTGTTTCTCCATCCATTCGGCGCGCTGGTGCTGCAGAATAGACCTGAATCCAATAAGTCTTCGAAAGTGTTGAACGGTTCCTCGAATATGTCCTCGTCGGCTTAAGCGTTTCCGCGGGTGCTCGAGCTCGAGAGTTGCGAGCAGAAATCGGCAAGCGTGACACCCGTATGCTTTCTCATTCTTCGACCACCACTACCCATGATTTCAAACGCATCTATCCACTCGTTCAGCCCTCGGCTTTCCGTGAAAACGCTCTAAATGGCTGAATTCTGGAATCTGGGAGTTATCGGCGTCCTAGGTCAGCAACTGAGAAACTCGTCTTACGCGAATGTTTACCTGCTACAGTGACTCTCAGGCAAGGATTCAAATCGCCTGTTCTGGAGTGGAGACTGTCCCGAAGATCTAGACCGGAGCCAAACGTCCGGTACGCATCCACATTCAGGGAGGAAATCGGGACATGTGGGCGGGAAAAAAAAGTGCGTGTGTCGTTTCACCCATCTATCCGCTTTTACCGCCTTGCTGACCGGGCTGAAGCTATGGCGGCCCATATTCTTTACCACGCGACCGAACATACTCCTCCGCAAGCCCAAATCTTCCACCCTGGTTGCCTCGCTCTTGGTCAAGCCGCACATCCCTTTCTCGACAACGATGTCGCTGTTTGACGGGTTCTAAACCAGGGACAGTTTGAGAGCTGTAGCCCGCGCGATAAAGGCGGGATGTTGTGAAGCAGACTATACTGTGTGACTTGTTTGTGGCGGCAATTGCATGCTATGCATTGACATGGGCAGGAAGACGTATGGCGATGTAGTCAGCTTCAAGCGAATTGAAAACCAGAGACCAATACTTGCCGCTCGATTGGTGCCACTAGTACTAGTATGCCATCTTCATGCAAGCACCAATCTTTTTTTTCTTCGAAGCTGATTGTCTATGCAAGATTTTTTTTGATAAGCTCACGCATGGTTTGGGCAGTGTCCCTGCGGGTTGCCATCGCTAACACACAAATATCATCACGTTTACAGTACCTTTGGCACAGAAATTAGAAACTGTGCGGTCGAAACCACGCAGGTTATCACTTGCATCTTGAAAAGCATAAGGTTTAAGTCAACCAATGAAATAGCGAGAGATAAGCACAACCTTCGTGAGCTACAGGAACTAACTGGTCGATTCTCGACATAAAGTGCCCAAGTGTCTGGGGGGGAAAGTCCGATTTGCCGCCAGTAGCGATCTGGTCAGGAGGCTAATAGGCCAGCGTGCGTATGCGTGACTTTCTTGGAGCCTTGAGCTGTCTGTTGGGTGTTGTGGAAGGAACAGGAGCAGGTGCCGGATCTTCCGGTGGGCATAGGTCAAACTTGGAGAAGAAAAACGTGACACACACACGTCACTGCTTCCAGATTCCTCTCCGCTCCTCCCATCTGCTTTTCATGGAATGCATCCATCTCTCGGTTTTGCGCTCGCTCTGCGGTCATACAAGCACTAGTTTCTACGGCATATAAGGCGTGCACGTACTGGTCCTGCTGCGTTTACCGTCCAACCATGCATGCTACCTACTCAAACTGAGTCAGCTTGCACACTCTTCTTTTGCTTGGTCCTCAGCCCGTGCTCGCCTCTGGCGAAGACATCCGCGAGCGGGGAGATCCAGAGCTCACAGGGGGGTACTGCATTCGGTATCGCGGCAGTCCTACAAGACGACCAGAAAGAGACAATCAGCCTGACTGGTGTAAGTCGCCCGCGCCATGCTTCCAGCGAAGCGGGACTCAGCAGCACGATGAAAATGAAGCGGACCGTAAGCTACCCTCACACTGCTGAAATGCCTCCCGCTGACATGACTTTTTTGTGCGCTCTTGGTAGGCAAATCTTCTTTACACTCTCCGAGACGAGGCGCAATTCCGGCAGAGATGGCAAATATGAAGAGAGGCGCGGGACTTCGGGTACGTGGCAACGCAGCTGCTGCCAAAACCTGGACTGAAACCTCTTTACAGCGACGACACCCTTTGAATCCTCTTCCCCCCCCCAAACTGCAAGCAACTTTTCGTCCATGGGTCATCGGAACGGTACCGAAAACTCTCCCCATGGCTCTTTGCCGTGACGGGAAGCGAGTGGAGACCTAAATCTATCCGCCCATGGCTTCCTGTGAAGCATTCGCCAAGATCTGGCCACCCAAACCCTACATCCATCGACAAGTCAGCTCAGCACTTCTCCTTTCACCACTATTTGACCCCGCTACACCGACATGTCCCGTCTGTCTCCATTCCTCACTCGAAATCCACCTCTCGACAAATTTTCTTCGCCGCATCACATATCCCGGGTGGCCATCTCTCCACAGAGGACAACAATCGCAGCGGCGACCCTATCTCCCCATGCGTGAACCGCGTTGCATCATACGCCGCCATCTCGGCGCTCTCAGCTTCGTGGGCTGGTGTCTGATGACAACACTGCTTGGAAGCACTTTTGTCGTCGTATGATTGGGATAGACTTTCAAGAATATCTTGCAACCCCCGCGCCACACTTTCTTCATCATGCGAGTTGTTTAACGAAGGACGGAGCATGCTCTGCTGAATGCCGACTACGCCTCCTTCTCATGGTCTGCCACGTTTTCAGCCACTGGCGGCACCGAAATGTCCTGATGGCGATCCCACCATTGCAGGGCGACTGCGACTACTCTATCCTCCGACTTCACTGTTTCCCAAAGCGACAGCCCACGATTGTATTTCATCGATATTTCCGCGGTACCATTGCAAGCCCTTGTGCAAAATAATGGCAGTGATTCGCCGACGGATCGGGAGATTTATTCATTGATCTTGTCTTGGGTACTCCAAACACGCGCTTTGCCGCCGCCAGGGTATAGCAACTATGTCTTCCATGCACTCAACAGGCATCCTTTCCTGCCCCCCACTTCTTCTTTACTGCACAGTTTTTACTTTACCCTTTCCTCCATTCGTTCTATACCATTACAAACACTATTTCCCCACCGTGCCCGGTATCCTCGCTACTCATTTTTTGCTTTCACTACACAGGCCGTTCAGCAGACGGAGTGTACTTCTTTGGTCCCGACCGCACCCGGTGGATGCCCCTTCATCACCTCCGTTGGCGGTGTCACTGGTGTGCCCCTGCCGACTGCCGCCTCGCTTTCAGGCGGAGGTTTCTCCAACCATTTCGCGTAAGTCTTCAGCATTTGCTAGCTTTTGACTGCATGGAGCTGATTCAATTCCTTCTAAGCACACCCGATTTCCAGCTTGGCGATGTGCAATCCTACCTCGCAGGCATTGGTGACCAGTATGCCGGGCTCTATAACGCAACCGGCCGTGGTTTGCCTGATGTCGCAGCCTCCGCAGAAAGCGTCGAGATCGCCTGGCGTGCGTACCATGTTTTTATCTCCACTCGTTGCTGATTCATGGTGTAGAGGGTAGCTTCCGGCTTGTCGACGGCACGTCGTGCGCCTCCCCGATCTTCGCGTCCATCATCTCGCTTGTAAACGACCGCCTCCTCGCAGCGGGCAAGCCTATTCTCGGCTTCCTCAACCCATTCCTGTATAGTCCCGCCGGCAGGGCGGCGTTCACCGATGTTACCACCGGTAAGCTACTTGTTCATGCTCTAGCTTGGTGGAATGGGTACTGAATGGACGTAGGTACTAACCCGGGTTGCAATACCAATGGCTTCTCCGCCAAAGCTGACTGGGACCCAGTTACGGTGCGTGTCTCTTGTGATATCCGTGGCGGCTTTCTTATAGGCCACAGGGTCTTGGTACCCCCAACTTCAATCTGCTGCTGGCGGCTGCTGGTTTGTAGAAGTTCCGGCGGGAGAACTGAAGAGGATGGATTTAATGGAAAGATACGTGTTTATGTACCGAGTATTCAAAATCAATGGCATATCTTTCACTGGGAAACCAAATGAGTTCATGGCCACAGTCGTACTTTCTGTAAATGACGACGCAACGAGATACTGACGACGACGAGGGGGCCCGGGTTTGGTCCACGCCGTGTTTTTGAGTTCGTGAATTAATCGACATAGGCTCCCAGATTCGTACTCTTGGTATTTTCTCGTCATGCTGCTTTTGAACAACGCTATGCAACTACTTATGGTCAGATTGAAGTCGCTCTCAAGCACGAATCTAGCGGCGGTCACAGTCATGCATCACATATCTTAAGCTACTTCTTCCCTTCATCCTCCCGCCTTCCACTGTCCGCACCCAACATGCCATGAACTCCATAACTATCAAAGAGGGCACTTCAACGGAACCCAATGGCTGCGTGATACCGGCGAGGCAACCTGGTACCTGAGCATGGAAGGGAAAACTGCGATGCTAGGAACGGGCCTGACGATGGTACGCCTGCTCTTGACTGCCCTCCACCACGTCCGCACTTACTGACTCGTAGCATCCAGCGGATCTCCAAGCAGACCGAATGTCGACATTGCCTGAAGCTCAAACCGAGAAGATCTTGCGACCGGCTTTCTGCGCTGCTTCGACCTCCCGAACCGGAATATGCTACACTGTGCATGGCTCGCAGTATTTCCGACTGTGCCGCCCTCGCTGTTGTTCACAGAGACCGAGACACAAATGGTCGCTTGGTGTGTCTACCCGCTCCTTGCCCGGTCCAAAGGTTTCAGACGCTGACTTTTCTTCCCTACTGCAGAATCCACGATCCCCGCTCACAATGCCTCGTTCACACTTCCTTCATGACCGGCAAGAACCTCACATAGTCCCTTCCTCTTACCCTTCTGCCGTTACTCTTTCGGCGCTATATCTGGTTGCGGGTCGCCGCATGTAGAAAAGATCTTTCCATCTTTCCCCTTCGCTTCAAGTCATCGTCGGGGCTAGCGAGAAATATTGCGGCCGACATGGAAGAAGCAGAAGTTGCATGAAAATGAGACACGCCTTCCCTGCCTTTCGCGAAGATGGCTCGGAGGCGCCGTAGCTTTGGAGGATGGCGCTACCGTCTCTAGAACGCACACACCCTATACGCCGCAAGACTACTTCCCGAAATCTATCGTCAATGGCCATGGGCGTTGGGCGGAGGAGCCCGAGAGCAGATGAACCAAGCAATGTGGGGTTAGTCCAGACTAAACAATGCGCTCCGTCCGCTCACCAAGTATCTCCGCCAAATGACGGGCACGTTCTTCGGCAACCACGACACACTGGGATAATGCTGCCAACGCATCTTTCCTCACCCACCCTGTATGCGGCGCGACATCTCTCGGATGCCGGACTGTCTTTTCGACACTTTACGACTTTCTCCAAAGGCCTTTTCATACGTTTCAAACCCATGGAAGAGACGACATCCATTCGACGGCGGCTTTTCGCGTCTTCTCACCTCCAGTCACATCCGTCACGGTCACGCTGCAAGCACAGGATTTCCTAAGTCTCAATGTGCGGAACCTGCTTCACCATGGACTGCATCTCATGCTGAAATGGAGGTCATGCATTACACTCAATTCTTTTCGGGCTCGAATACGACCGTTAAGGTCCTCTGCGACACCGTTTTCTCCAACGGCATCCACAGGGCCAGAATTGACTTGTCGTACATTTTGCGAGGGATTCAGGCTGGCAAACTTTTACTACATGATCACCGACTGCTCACCATCCTTCCTATCGACATTTCCGAACACATCGACTGGCTCATTCGTCATTTGGGTGTTTTTTCAGCCCCCAAAGCCATCCAAGAGTTCAGGATGTTACTCAGACAACTTATCAAGTGTCTCTAGTGATGCAGCAGTATCTTCTCCTCTACTTGAAAATGTTCGCCGCTGCCGCCGCGCCTCCTCCGGCGACTCTTTTCATCATTGTCGCAACTCCGTATCTACCACACCTGCGCTTCCATCGACCGTATCTGGTCCTGCGTATATCTCCTTCACCTCATTCTTCTTGGATCAAAATCCCCCCCTCAAGGTCGTCGTCGAGGGTGTTTCTGGCTAACGAGCTGAATCCGCCGTTCTGGACGAGATCGCGGTATTTCGACACATCTGGGCCGTGAAAGTTATTTTCTGAGCCATCGCTTACCACTTCCCATACGTCAATGCTCGCGTCTACTGTAGTGGTGTAGTAAGTACACTACTCTAACGCAATTTAATCTATTTTAAAACCAAATGTGCTCGTGATTGTCCTCGTCGACCTGGCCCTCAGAGCTTTCGGAGAGTATTACTGCCATATTGTCATCGTCAACCCCGATCCCAAATTGCTCGATGGTGGAAGAAGCTTGTCAAGCTAATGTACTCGTCAATGCTTTGGCCTCACGAGGAGTTGTGGCCTGCATGGCGTTACTGCTGCCTTCCTCGCAACACAATGCAGCCCAAGGGCAAATACATCAAATTAAACGGCATAAGTACTACAATATCCGAGGGTCAACGACACAAGGACTACAATATTGTGTGGTAAAACGAGAACAAGAAAAACCGAAAAATTCGCGACCCCACATGGCCGGCGCAAGCGTCGCTAGGAAAAGGTCAGTTGACTGTTATCGACTTGTAGTTATGCCAGTGTGACTCACTCACTAGTATAGACACTAGTCTATGCCTGGGAGAGCAACATCTTGATTGAAATCCCTCTGTGGTGGCGAGAAGTCCGAGTCTTCCTATCCTTTCGCATCTTCGGTGAATACTTGCGTATTAGCTTCCTGTGCTCAATCTCTCCCCTCGCAAGTCTTACATCTCCTTCCTGCACTTTGTGCTGTGTCATTGTCAATTGCAGAAAGGTGGCGCTAACGGAAGGGACCTACTGGCTCGATGCCCAACGCGAGTAGCTGCACCCAAAGGCATGTATTCCGATGCTTCAGCCAAGCATACGGATACAGGGCTTTCCTACTATCGAGCTTGATGTTGTCCCCGCAGCCCCAACATTGAACCAGCCATTGCCTTGGCCCACGGCGGATGTTACAGCAGAAGGGATCCTGCCTCAGATTCTTCTCTCGGGCGTCTTTCCGATGCGCTGTCTTCACGTTTTCGAGATGTCCAGTGGGGGGTGGCAGGTGAATCCAAAGACCAGAGTCGGCCACCTTCGTCGCGCAGAGGAGAAGCCTCTCCTCGTAGTCGAGGTCGGCGACATCATCAACATCAATAATATAGGGAGGTGGTGGCGGCGGGGGCATAGGGAAGGTAAATTGGGCCGCGTCGTGACTGAAGGGAGTTGGAGCCAGATCAGCACAGAGGCTGTCGACAGAGTCAGACAAATGCGACGCCGTATCACCCTTTCGAACTCCGACTTGCCTCGTTTCGTTTCGTCGTCGTGCTAGTGTTGCACTCAGCCAGCGCCGTGACTGTTGTCTGTGGGTAGTACCGATAGCCCGAGTGCGATTCGGAGGCATTGTTACTTCGGGGAAAGTCTCTGGCAGTTGAAGACGGTGGATGAGGGAGGCAGGAAGGTATGGCGAGAGGCTGTAGGTATCAACTGAGAGTCATGGTCCTTTTATACTAGTGACCCTCGTGGATGGGCACCGATTGTCTGCTCGATCACACGAGTCAGAGACAACCACTTGAGGAAACAACGATTGATTAAGTACACGGCGGGCGTTCAGATTGCCTTTGTATTTGTTGCAAGTGTTCTTATTACTCTCTGTGTGTGCCACTTGTTGTTGTGTCCTTGTTCGTTGCGCCTGCCAGTGGTCTTTACGACCGTTTCCACCCTACAAGTCACTGTAAGCAATTGTCGAAATGTATTGTTGACACTTGTTTGTTGTTCATTTATACTAGTATTGAGTATGTTGTTTTCCGGATTTGTACCATACACACCGTATTGTACGTACACACACACTGTGACACACACACACACACACCCGAGGCTGTGTACTTATGGCGTCTAAAGCATCTAAAATGTATACACAGCTTGTCCACAGCAGTGACATACCTGTGGTTCCATCATTTGGGCCACGCAGTAGTTCTACAGACTCCGTCCCTTCTTAGACTTGACTCGAAGCAAAGGCGTCTCTCAACATCAAGATTCAAGACCTCTTGCATGACCAATCGATCATCGCCTTCTCCCTGCGTATGCCCACCGACAAAACCCTCTGCAGCCACAGATCTCCTGCTCCACAAAATGTCTCTCGATGTGAACTGAACGCTGCCTTACGGGAATTTGAACAAGCCCTTCAAGCTTCGAGTTTCGCGCTTTGAAGCGGGCGAGCGCATGTATGGCTCATGGTCATTGCCCGATGCGCGCTCCAAGTCGGCTTCGTCGCAGAAGAATTACGGAGCCTGAGGCCGACGGCCCGAGTGCGTGTGGCGATTATGGCTCCGGAGAGGATGGTTGAGGCGGCGGCGAGGAGCATGAGTTGTGATATGGCGGAGAAGAGGTTGAAGACTAGTATGCTGGCCGTGAAAGAAAGGAACATGGAGCCTAGGACTTAGATGTCTGATGTTGCTACCAGTGAGAAAGACGCCCGTGCCGATTTGGAGAGGAACCCAAAAGTCTGAAGAGGGTCAGCGGAAAACCCAGGATATGTAAAAGACTGACCTCGGGAGTCAGCGCAGGTTAAAATGACTGGCATTGTAAGTAAAGACGCAGTCTGTGACGCCTTTGCGGGTCCGACAAGAATGAGTAGTATTTGCGCGGAAGCAGGGGTTAGACAGACGGAATTGAATAGCCAACATTGAGGAATAAGTAATGCTGCAGGTCGTTCGAATAGGTGCTTTATGGCAGGGTGGTAGATGGCTTTGGCCATGTTGGTATTAACATGTACATTTGTTGAAGCTAAATGCCGGGATGCATGTAAGTCAGACTGCCAGTGCGCTCCAGTCAGCGACGAGTTTGGAAGCATCAAGCATACAACACACCGAATAAGCCCCAGCTTGGACATCGAGAACGTGCTTCTCAATCTGTTCGCGGTTGGTGAGGGCCGTGAGGCCAGTTTGTGCTTGAAAGAACGCGAGTGCTGGGTCGTCCGCCTGAGCATTGCGCGTGAAAAGAGCGGTCTCGGCATTTGTGGGGCACACCTCGAGCGTAATCAAGAGAATCAGGTCGAGTGGTGGGATGCAAGAGGTATGCATAGCTGAAACCCCCGACGTCAGGTCAGAAAAGTGAGTTAACTACTGCTGGACACCCCCCCTCCCTGTGTGACGTCACGCCACGTGATTGCACGTGATGTCCCAAAAAGGCAATTCCATGATGATGGGTGCCCGAAACTGGTGAAAATGTCATGCAGTACTACTAATTTCCTCTATATATAGTGTCCCTTCTTGTGCTCTCCACCCACATACACCCTGCGGACATCATTATAAAACCAATTTTGGCTGCAGGCATAGCTGGCAGGTGTGACTTGGGTGTGCCGTGGCCATGTCATCACCACCCAAATAGGAAATTCCTATCAAAATGCTTATACATGCCTCAGAAGAACCTTAAAATCTGCTTTCAATGACAATTATATGCATGCTGAGACCATTAATAGCATTCCTAGCCACTCTGTACCCTACAAAAGAAAAGTGAATTAAGGTCACCAGACCACCCCCCTCCCCTCCCCCCTGACGTCTCGGCTTGCGCCGGCGCGTACCCCTTGGTGGGATGTGGGAAGCCCATCACCCCTGGCAGCCTGGTCGTACGAGATCAAGATGGCTTCCCACATCTTCCAGGTTCGCGTAGGCTGCAGCTTGCAGCTGGTATGTCGCGAAGGGGGCAGATGCCACTCACGAACCAAGCATTTCGAGGGCCGCCATGATTCCCGCTTGCTTAAGACAGCTCGAGAGTCGAGACACATTGAATCCCGCGGCGGGCTAAGTGTCGTAAATCGTGGTGCCCGCGGCCCCATCCATTGTCGCTCAAGGTGAACAACATAGGTTCTTTAGGCGCTCGAATGGTTTCGAGTGGCGAGGGCTCTCCATGCCTAAAATATGATGTAGGAGTATTCGGTGCAGATTGTCCTCGTGATCCACAAAATCTTCTTCCTGACTGTCACCCACTGATTCCTTCGACACGTCCGGACAAGTCGACCAGGATGAGCCGACTCTCGCGCGCCTTCGTGCCTATTTTTACAGAATCCAGGAGCTCAGGCTAGTGCGAGAATGAAAACGGGCAAGGAATTGGTGCGCCGTTTCTTTCCTTTGCTTTTGCAGGGAAGTTGACGAGCGCTCACAGCTTTGCGTGTCTGGCAGCTAGCGCTGCGCATAGCCAGAGCGTCGTTGCTCAGGGATGCTTCTTCTCGTGGTCTTGCCCTTGGTCAGCCTTGTTTGTCGTCGTGCCGCCGTCAACAACGACTTATTTCGCTTCTAGCTGCCCAATCCCCCCTCACGCCAATTGTCTAACTCGACGGCAATGTATATTTGCTTTCATATCACCAGCTTTCCGAGCGCTTTGCGAAAAGACAGGAGAGGAGTCAGCGCTTGAATGGAAATGAATGGAAACGCCGTTAGACGATTTACCACCTTGTCTTGGCTAACCAGCCTGTACAGTATTCACGAAAGACCTACCATGGAAAGCATTTCGGCCGCCTCTCGTTCAGCACTGTTGCCATTTCACTCAATGCGCTCGCTCTTCGTCTACCGATAGGACCGGAATATCAGATGGAGCAAATAGAGCCCGTGTAACTGCTACCCAGAAACATAGCGAAGGGTTATATCTGGTGCGTAGCTAGACTATAGCGGCTAATACCTAAGTTCATGCTTTTTACAGCAACGACACCCTACAAACGCCTATCCTAAAGTTGCGGAAAATGCTCTCGGTTGCTTGTCGCCGTTCGATAGACGAAGTTGGAGGGGAGAACCTTTCGTATGAACCCCACAAAACTATGCAAAGACATGGATTGGGAACCTCCTTTTCGCCAGCAAACGACAGCAAAACTTCACATTTTACCCATTACTCGATACCCACTTTCCTTTCGTCACTCTTCGACCTTTCCGCACCTTTCCGTTTCGTTCGCCCTTATTCCCTGGCTTCAAAATTTTCCTTGCAAAGAACCGCGTCACAGCTGTGGCCGCTACTCTGCGCTATCTCACCAGCAAGGACACCAATCGCCACCGCGACTTGATTCCCTTCAGGATGGCTATCGTGGACCGCTTCCTATCAAGTTAGACGGCTTTAGTTCAGCGAAATGGTTGTTTTGCCGACGAGGTCGTCGTCCGAGAGGTCGATGTATATGTGAGCGCTTTTTCGGTTGTCTAGGGCTGGAGCGGGGCTGAAACCCATCCCAGAGACTGAAGAAGTGCCCTTCGAAATGTTTCTCCGACTGTCATTTTGGGTGCTGCAGCCGCCGATATACTGGAGTCCCGCCGCCTCTTTCGCAACGTCATTACTTCTCCATCTACGGGTTCCAAGCGCATCTGTCGGCAATGTATCAATTCCGTCTTCTGACAAAATGACGAGTCTATTGCAAGGCTCCATACATGGCTCTGATTACTGAAACACCCACCCGCAATCCCTCACCCACCACTACCACAACGCCTTTCTCGCTCATTCCTTCCCAAATACTTCCTTGTTATCATATGGGCGCAACGACTTCTCCCCTCATACCCTACTATCCATGGCCTTTCCACGTTCGTTTGCTCGGCGTCATCATCTCTCATCCTCTCCATTAGCGACCTCTGTATTCACATACTGTTTCCGTTCCTCCCGGGTGTCATACATACCAAACGGACCATTGCTACAACGAGTTTTACAACCTCTTATGTTACTCTTGTTCTTACCTGCACCACTAACCTTCATTTTCTTTCACATATGTTCACATTCGACAACCTTGACTGCTTGCTTGTGCTCCTGCCCGATTGGGCAGGTGACCTGCCTTTTTTGGGACGATCGCAGATGGTTCCCGCAGATGGTTCCCGCAGATGGTTCCCGCAGAGTGTTCCGAGTGGAGGGAAAACGCAATCACTACAGGCCATGTCTCTACTTCTCTATTGATCCTTGACTGAGTAGCGTTGGATGCTGAATGGTCAAAACATTTGGTTATTTCAGACAAGTTACTGATTTGATTTAAGTAGATGAATATTATATGGGATTTTTCTTTGAATGACCATTGCCCGATGCGCGCTCGGCTTCGTCGCGGAAGAATTTTGGAGTCCGGCGGTGCGTGCTGCGATTATTTTAACTTGAAAGCAGCAAGGCAGCGAAAAGCACTGTGAGTTGTTATGAGGCGGAAAACGATGGCTGGTAGTGGAAGAAATGATCAAATTACAACCCACAGCATGTTAGTTACTTGATCCGAAGTACAGCTCGAGTAATACTGCCATTGCCAATGCATCCAAATTCAAGTTCATGTTCCAGAGAGTACAACTTTAATGCTGCGAGTCAAAATGGGTAGCTGCCGAAAGCAACGATATATTCAACAAGGTGGAGGTTGGGGACATCCCACTGAACCCATGAAATGAAAATTTGAGCAGCCAGCTAAGCCACGCACCAGGCCCTCGAGGTAGTATACATCGTCCTTGATGATCGCCATCGCCGCGTCGTAGCTCGGCGTCTCGAGAATGAAGAACGAGCCTCCGAAGTTGCGATCGGCCACGCCCTTGACGTCACCTGCGCTGCCGTCGGTGTATACCGGGCCACCCAGTTCTATGTTATCTTTCAGCCAGCACGCGCAGATGGTCGAGCGATCGTACTGATAACGCCCTGCTCGACCAGCGGCTTCAGCCGTGCGAAGTGCTCCTTCATGAGTCGGGCCTGCAGATCGCGTGCATCAGGCGTCGTGATGTAGGGGCCGAAGAACGCATATTTGCGATTGGGAGAAGTCGACATGAGTTGGATTGCCAAGGACCGGAGTTTATCAGAGTGGGACCCGCTGACGTCCTGCAGTCGCCAACCGGAGTTCAACGGACCGATGACCGATTGCGTCATCGTGGTAACATAAGGTAACATCATTTCCTTCGTTTTTTCACTTTGCCATCTGCCCTCTATGCGTGCCTACTACTTCGACAATCTTCCCGGCGACCAGCGGCTCCCGCATGACCTGCAGCCATACCGCCCCGTCGAGCCCCCGGAGTTGGCGAATATGAAGGTTTTGACGTGGCACATCCCCATTGCTGGCTATGAGGACAAGCTGGAAGCCATTGCGCGAGACCGAGGGTACAAGAACAGAGATACCATCGATGTGTCGCGGGAGGGCATGGGCGACGTCTACGAGGCCAAAATCAAAGGCTTCTTTGAAGAGCACATGCATGAAGACGAGGAGATTCGCTACATTCTGAGCGGCAGCGGCTTTTTCGATGTCCGGGAGACACCGTCGGACGCGTGGATCCGTATTGCGGTGGGGGCTGGCGACCTGCTTGTACTGCCCGCGGGAATCTACCACCGCTTCACCCTCGACGAGCAGGACCGGATCAAGGCGCTGCGGCTTTTCCAGGACGAGCCAAAGTGGATTCCTCATGCAAGAAGCGCGGCGACGGATTCTAACGAGCATCGTGTGGAGTACTTATGCACTATTGGTGTCGGAGCATGAGGATAAGTGGGGTGGACTGGTGAGTGGAGAGAAGGAATCGCAATGTAAAACCAATTGGTATCCAATCATGTTATCTATACTCTGGGAGACTGAAATGAAACCATGTTCCTCGCCTGCAAACCTATCTGTTTTTCTCACATTCGAAACTTTGATCCCCTTTTGCGGGTTGCTTGCATGACGGACGACCACTATCTTCAAACTATTCCCATCCCTCCTACGCACTTGAAGTTCATTCAACTTGACAACTTAGAGCAATACTAGTAATTAATCAGGTATTCAAGGGGGTTACAACCAACGGCAGCCCCGACTTCTGTCCTCTCTGACTCTGCCCAGGGAGCAGGACGGACGGGCGCTGAATAGCGCCGGCGGTGAACGGGGCAATACCGCTCTTCGGGACGCTGGCGTCGAACTCGAATGCGCGAACAAGAGTGAATAGCAGCGCCTTGAACCTGTTGAGCGTCAGTTTGGCATCGAAGTAAGTCCCAGTACACTGACTCGACCAGCGCAAAGCGGAATCCAATACAGTGGTGGGGGCCAGACAGAAATGTGAAGAGGTTGGCCCATACACCTGGGACCTCGCTCGCGGCCGCAGGGACCGCGCTCCATCGCTCAGGCCTATTGGAATATCAGTCTCTCCAATCCAGGGAGAAGAAGATGCTAGACTTGAATTCCAATGCATCCTCTCCCCAGACTTCTTTGGACGTATTAACAGCCCAGATCGGCAGCTGGACCATCTGTCCTCGGGGAATGCTGTCGCTGGCGTCAATACTGCATCATCCAGAGGGTGGATACCCACGGAAGACTCCAGTGCTCCCGCCCTTCGCGGTCGACGATTGGCTTCGAAAGCGGCAATGCATCGTCATACATCGCCTTCCTCTGCATCGCTGTCACCGGTGAATGGGCGCGCAGCGTCTCCCGCACGACCTGTTCCAAGTACGGCAGCGCGTTGAGCTCATCCAGCGTCGGGTGGTCGGTGTCCACTGAAAGCACCTCCTCCCGCAGCTTCGTCTGGGCGGCTTTGTTGGTTGAAAGTGCGTGCAGTGCCCATGCTGCTGCGGAGCTGAGTAGAAGGTTAATTCGGCAAGACCCGGAAGATGAGGCTGGAAGTACCTGGTTGTTTCGTGCCCTGCAAGGAAGAACCCCGGGATTTCTACGGTCGCTCAATGAGCCGCCGTTATCGCGGCACAGGCACACTCACGGGCCACAACTTCGTTGTCGCTAAGTTTCTGATGGTCTGGCAGGTCAGCCGACATATTTGCGCGGAGGAGTATGGAGAGCAGGTCGCGCCGGCGATCCAGCGAGTTTAATTTGTCTAATTCCTCGTCTTCGGCCAGCAGGTGCGCTTTGCTTTCTTCGATAATCTGGCGGCTGATGACAAACATGCGTTCGCGCGCTGCGTTCAGCAGTCGTTGACCGGGCACAGGCTACAAAGTTCAGCTCGTCTTTTTGTTGCTATAGCAGAAAACACGGACAAATAATTTGAGAATCGGCATCATGCTCTGTGCCACACGCAACGCGCCATAGAGCTTGGAATTCGGCGCATGGAAGAGCCCTGTGAATGCCTGGTCAAGCTCTGTATTGCCGGTGCCGTCTAGCGCTGCGAAGTCGTATCCGAAACCGGCCCGCCCAATGACATCGAGCGTCATCTTGCGTAGGCCAGAGATGACTTCTATCGTGCCGGACTGCTCCTTCGCCCACAAATCGCGCAGCTGTCGCGTGGTCAATAGTCTAGCCCTTGGCAGAGGACGGATCCAAATACCTGCAGTGCCTTTTCCACGAAGATTTGGGTTACTGCTCGAATCTGAATCGTGCCAAAAGCCGGGTTCTGCAAGTGACACTGTCAATAGGTGGAGGGAGTCGCATACTAGACTTTCCATAACTCGCCGCTATGAAGTTCAGCTCAAGCTCACCCTGAACGATGAAGACGTACATGTCGTTTATGCTGCTCCGCCTCAGCAAACAAAACACCCTCGCCAATCAAACGACGAATGGTATCGCGCTGGGTCGGCGGTCGCTGGTAGATCTCCGGATGCGCCATGATATGATTGAGAGCTTTCAAGTCCGTCGTAAACAGCTCCGAGACCTGAGACGGCTATCGGAACCCGAGGAACAACGGAGAAGAAACACACGCTGAACAGGCCGTGGAAGAGGTATGTCGAGCCGTATTCTTCGCGCCATTTGCTCGTCAGCGTGGCGTCGTCCTGGGGGCCAATCAGCATAGAGACGAGGGCAGCGTCAAAACTTACAGCAATTTGTTTGAAGTTTCCCAGCACGATGTTCTGTGTTGGCGGGCTGGGGAGGATACGGCGGAGGGGCGAGGCGCGATTTCGGTAGAAGATGAGGAGCGCATGGGCGCAGAGATACGCGACCAGCGTCCCTGCGACAGGGAGAAGGATGCCTACTATCATGGTTAGACAGCCCGGAATGCCAATGAGTGGTGGGCCTTTAAACCTGAATCTTCAGCAGCAGTTCCTCTCACGACGTCTGAGTTACCTTCAGGCGTCAGCGGCTCCGCGGCCCGTCGGTGAAAGAATACCACCGTGTGCTGGTGGGTGACCTCGAAGCAAGTTCAAGCAACGATTTGGCCTATGAATAGAGCGGCACCTGCCACTTGCTGGTCTTCGACCGAGACAATCGGAAAAGAGCGTACAACACACCTCGTCAGCGGCGGCTAGGATCCGGACGACGACGCTGTAGACGGTATGTTTTCTTTCAACTAGTGTTAGCACTCACTTCCGAATGTGCGTCACGGACTCACGGTGGGCTTGCTGTGTGTTATGTTCTGTCGCAAGACGCAAGTCGCGGCCACCAAACCATATACTGCTGTCTCTCGACCCTTGCGCTTAGCGCTCGCCCCTGTAGTTTGCAATCGCAGGGAAACGAGATCGAAAGGTGATACGTGAATGTGACACGTTTTCACATCTTGCTCTTGCTCTCCATGAAACTCCCCGTCCTCCTCTCCTTTGTCGCGGGGCTTGCGTTTGGTGCGTCCGCTGTTGTCCACGACCACGTTGGACTGACTGTCTTAGTCGCTGCCGCCCCGATACGCCTTGTCGTTGTGCCCGCCGACATCGCTAGCCCGCTCATCGACATCGACCACCTCACCGCTGCCAGACCCGCTATCGCTGCTATTCCCGTGCATGGCAATAGCTGTGGAGCGGCACGCGTCCGCGAGAAGCTCATCGCCGCGTTTAAGCATACCTTTGGCTCAGACAAGGTCGTTGCTGCCCCGACTACCACTCTTTCCTCACCTTCCACCCTCGCCTCTGGCACTCCCACACCCTCACGCTCTGTCCCGCGCCGCATTTGGAACGCACTGCGTGCTATGCCCATCTGGCAGGCTGCGTTGTTTGTGTTGGTCGGAGGCCTGTTGCCGCTCTTCATCATATGTGTGTCATTCTTGGCCTGGGAGAATTCACCTCTGACGCTTTGCAGTTGCGGTGATCGTTTTCGCGCTGCTCATGGCGTATGAGATCACGATGGACTTCTTCGACCCTCACCGACACGACCCTGTGGACGATAGTGCGGACGATCCGCCACGGTATACGGCGCTGCCGGTTGGTGGTACTATTGATGTGGGGGAGAAGCAATTACAGGCCATGGTGTAGATGCTCAGTACGTATGGACATATTTAAAGCTTTCTCTTTACCACTCCTGTCCCCGTTCTTCTCGCTCTCTGCCCACTTTTGGTCCCCATTCTCCCGCTATCTCCATACCCCGTTTCCTTTCATCTCAAAGCTTCGCTGGCTTGGGCGGGGTGCGGTATTCGACCAGACGGATGTTGGGGATGTCCCACTGGCCTCGTCAGACGATACAATATAACACACCATGGCCACTCACCAGTGCCTCCTTATAATACGGGTCCTGCTTCACAATCTCCAGCGCCTCCCGATAGCTCCCCGCCTCCATCACGAAGAACGACCCTCCAAACGCGCGGTCCTTGTCTTTCCCGTCCGCAGTCTCACCCGCGCCAGAGTCGGCGTAAAACGGGCCACCGACCGCTTAACCCTTGTCGTTAGCGCTGGTGTCATGCAAGAGAGAGAGGGGCGCACTGCTGCTGATGATCCCGCGCTGGATGAGTGGGGCCAAGGCTGCGAGGTGGGCGCGGCCGTGTTTGGCGCGTAAGGCGGCTGCGGCGGGGGTAGCGATGTATGGCGCGAAGAGCGCGAATTTGCGTTTGGGGGCGGGGGAGGACATGGGGGCGGTAGCGAGGATGAGCGCCGAGCTTTGAGGGTGAGGTTATAAGCGGTGGTACAAGATCTGGTCCGGAGGGGAGAAGCCCGAGGGCCGAGCGTGATTAATATCACTACAGGCTTGAGTGGCGCGGCCATGGCCGTCAAAGCTTTTTGCCTCATATTCATTGACCCTCCGCCGCTGCAGAGCTACACAGGTTCGAGTGAAGAGCAATTGAGGTTGATTTCCGATGTTTCCTGAGAGTAAATGTAAGGCATTCAAGCTTCAAGTCTCACTGAGAATGTTTATGATTTCAGATTTTAAAAAACCATTCTGAAGCCGATACAGGCCCGCACGAGAACCAGCCAGATTCGATGTTGACCCGAGCTCATGGCGGCCCTCGAAATCGTCGATTCGGGCGTGGCGTTTGCCATCTTCGCGGAATCGCAACATACTGGCCAACTATAGCCCATGCGGATGCGGGACGACATCTTGATGTGGATTCGCTGTGATCCACGGCCCACCATGGCTTCTCACATCCCACCACTCGACCTGGATCTCTGGACTACGCTCGCGGTGTGTCCTCACAGATACTGAGGCTGTTCTTCTTAGTACTTACTCACAACGCTCAGGCGGACGACCAAGCACTTGCGTTCTTCCAAGCACAAACTGGCCTCACCGACCGCGAGGAGATTGAGAAGCACGTTCTGGGTGTTCAGGCTCGGGCTTATGCGGTGTGTTGTACTGCTTCATGCTTCCACACTCGTCGCTAACTAGAGCGCAGTCTTTTCCGTATACGTGTATCCGGGTATTTAGCTTCCTACGGTGCTTCCTCATCGAGTCTACTTCGACAAACGTTGACAACAGTATAGACTGAAGATAGCTCTTCTACCGGCATATTCTCGCGCTATCAAGCTCCTCCTCGAACAACCTACCGCATTGTTCCTCGATGTTGGCTGTTTTTGTCTGTCTTGCCGTTACTTCCGCGCAAGTGCTCATTGTCACTGTTGTTGCAGTCGGGACGGATGCCCGCAAAGTCGTCGCAGACGGTGTCCCCGCTCACAATGTCATCGCATGCGACTTGCGGCAAGGTTAGACTTGTAAACCCAAGTATCATTCTTCACTTTAATCACTTATGCTTCCCAGAATTCTGGGAGCTCGGGCATGCCCTCTTCAAGTCAACTCGGGCGTCTTTCCCGGCAACATTCCTCGCAGGAGATATTTTAAACTCAAAATTTCTCGCCTCTGCCACTTCAGCCCCCACTCCACTCACGCTCGCTTCTCTCCGCTCCCTCACCGAACTCCAAGGGCACGTATCCGTACTCCACATCTCCTTCGTCTTCCACCTGTTCTCAGCCCTCGATCAACTCGCGGTCATTTCCGCTCTTGCCAATCTCCTCTCCCCATTACCCGGCACAATCATCTTCGGGGCCATGATCGCCACGCGCACCGCCGGCCTCGAGACATTCTTTCGTGACGAAGCTGAGCGTGCGTCTGGTGACGGCCTCGAGCTGTACATCCACTCGCCCGACTCATGGAGCGAAATCCTGGAGGGCTTGTTCCCGCAGGGAAGCGTCCGCATCGAGACGCACTTCCGCGGACAAGGGGAGCTGCGGGCGGCAGAGGACTTTGTGCCAGTGGGCTTGCGCGGGGAGGAGGGGATTATGGATTGGTCTTGCGAGCGGTTGTGATGAAGTTTGATCATGATTCGGATTGACAACTTGAAGGAAGGAGCTTGACTGTGCAACTATTCCTATCCGATACAAATGACCACTGGCACTGGCAGAACAATCATGTACCTATGTTGGCACTGGCAGACTGCTAGACAGTGATAGACTGATAGTGCTATGCTATTGTCTCAGTAACTCGGAGTTTATGATTTGGAGTCGGTCCGGACTCCGAATGCCATGGGAGAATTACATCCTCGTCATGCGGAGTCTAAGGTTCAAGGCCATTGATAGGCTGCTGAGCATTTCCAGCGGTGGGAATTAAGCATGATTCTTGGGACTCGGAGACTATAGGCAAAACCGATAAATCGGTTGGCAGACATCGTTACATAGCCCACTTCTCTTTCCCTCAGCCCTCTACCCTTTTGAACTTCGACTTGCCTCGTTCCGCGTCGCTCTCTGGGTCTTGGCGCGACCAGGCTTCGTGACTGTTGTCTGTGGGTGGTACTGATAGTGCGAGCGTTGCGGCGTTCAAGTTGGCAGGATGGCTGGGGAGGGGAAAGTCTCTGGCAGTTGAAGGTGGATGAGGAAAGAAGGAAAGGATAGCAGGCACTGATTGTGTGCTCAATCACACTGAGACATCCTCCCGCTATCCTTTCCTTCCTTCCTCATCCACCTTCAACTCCCAGAGACTCCCCAGCCATCCTTTTCCGACTTGAACGCCGCAATGCCTCGCAATATCAGTACCACTCAGAGATGATAGCCACGAAGCCTGGCTGCGCCAAGACCCAGAGAGTGACGCGGAACGAGGCAAGTTGGAGTTGGAAAGGGTGATACGGCGTCGCATTTGTCTGACTCTGTCCACAGCCTCAACGCTCACTTGGCTCCCGCCCCCTTCAGACCTAGTCACGACGCGGCCCAATTGACCTTTCCCCCCGCCGCCACCACCTTCCTATATCAATGTTGATGATGTCGCCGACCTCGACTACGAGGAGAGGCTTCGTTGCTGCGCGATGAAGGTGGCCGACTCTGGTAAATGGATTCACCTGCCCTCCCGGGCATATCGAAGGCATCAAGACGGCGTAAGGTGAAGACGAACGAATAAAGAATCTCAGGAAGGATCCCTTCTGCGATAGTCTCAGGCGTCGCTTCGACTCTGACCCAAAGTCAGGAATATCGCGGTGGGTGGTTGACTGTTGGGGCTGTGGTAGAGAAATCCAGCTGGACGACAGGAGGGAGGTATATCCCCACGCCTGGAACAAGCATCGCTCGACATGTCGGTGCGTACAGCTGCTCGCATTGTGCATTGAGCCAGTAGGTCCCTTCTGTTAGCGCCACTTTTCTGCATTTGACAACGACGCAGCGCAAAGTACAGGAAGAAGACGTGAGACTTGCGGGGGCAGAGAAAGCTCATCGGAAGGTCATACGGAAATATTTGCCCAAGATGCGGAAGAATGGAAAGGCTTCTTGTCGGCACAGAAGAATTCCGATCGAGATGTTACTCTCCCAGGCATAGACTATTGTCTACACTAGTGAGTGAGTCAGATAACGTAGATACACAGTCAACTGACCATTTCCTAGCGACGCTTGCGCAGGCCATACAGTGTTGCGAAGTTTTCGGTTTTTCACGGACTTGTCCTCGACGACTCCTCGTGTTACGACACAACATTGTAGTCCTTTTGCCGTTGTGACCCCCCCCACATAATTTGATGCATTTGCATGTGCCCTTGGACTGCATTGTGTTGCGAGGAGAGCAGCAGAAACGGGCTATGCAGGCCACGACTCCTCGTCAGGCCACAGTATTGACGAGTACATTAGCTTGACAAGCTTCTTCCACGATCGAGCAATTTTGAGTCAGGGTTGACGATATGACAGTATGGCAGTAATACTCTCCCAAAACTCTGATCAGAGAGAACGCGCCAGCTCGATACGGACAATCACGAGCACATTTGGTTTTGCAATAGATTGAATTGCGTAAAAGTAGTGTACTACACCACTACAGTAGACGCGAGCATTGGCGCATGGGAAGTTGAAAGCGCTGGCTCTGAAAACAACTTTCCCGAACCAGATCTAGAGGTGTCGAAATACTGCGATCTCATCGAAAAGGCCGGATTCAGCTCGTTAGCCAAAAACACCATCGAAGAGGACCTTGAAGGGGGGATTTGGATCCGAGAAGAATTAGGGTCACTGAAGAAGATGTATTGCACGACGAGATACGGTCGACGGAAGCGCAGGTGTTGTAAATACAGAGTCGCGAAATCGTGTCCCTGCAGCGTGACAGTGACAGGGTGACCTTCGGGAAAAGACGATGATGAAAGGGGTCGCCGGAGGAGGCGCGGCGGCGGCGGACATTTTCAGGTAGGAAGGGAGATACTGCTACATCACTAGAGACACTTGATGAGCTGTCTGAGCAACATCCTGGCCATTGAATGGCTTTGGGGGCTGAAAAAACACCCAAATGACGAATGAGCCAGTCGATGTGTTCGGAAATGTCGATAGGAAGGATGGTGAGCAGTCGGTGATCGTGTAGTACAAGTTTGCCAGTCTGAATCCGTCGCAAAATGTAGGACAAGTCGATTCAGGCCGGATGGATGTTGTTGGAGAAAATAGTGTCGATGAGGACCTTCAGCGTCGTATCCGAGTCCCAAAAGAATTGGGTGCAATGTATGTCCTCTGTTGCACCATTAGGTGCGGTCCATAGGGAAGCAGGTTTCGTACATTGAAACTTGCAAAATTGTGTGGGTGTAGCGTGACCGTGACGCATGTGACTCAAGATAAGAAGGCGCGAAAGGACGTTGGTGAAGGGGTGTCGTCTCTACTATGCGTTTGGAATGCATAAAGAGGGCTCCGGGGGAATGCTCAGAGAGTCTAGAAAACCGAGTCATGCTCCCAGTCAAGCCTCCCCAGAGATGTCGCGAGTCGCGACTGGCGGGTTACGAAAATGCGTTGGCCAACTCAAGTTGCAATGCTTGTCGAAAATCGTGCCCGTCATTTGGCAGAGATACTTGGTGGTCGAATTGAGCGTATACTTTGGTCTGGTTAAACCCCGCAATGCTTTGTTCATCCGCTCCCCGCCCGCGGCCCAACGCCCTTCGCCCATGACGATTGACGATAGAATTTGGAGTGGTTCTTGCCGCGCATAGTGCGTTCTAGAGACGGCCGCGCCATCCTCGAAAGTCGCGTCGCTTCCGCGCAGTCTTCGTGTTGCAACTCGCGACACAAACGGCGTGTCTCGTTTTCAGCCAACTGTCGCTCCGTCAGTCGCACCAATGCCCTTCTTGACCCACGACGAAGAGTGTCATAGAATCATTTGAAGCACGGGGGGGAGAAGATCCTTTCTACATCCGGCAACAAAGTCTAGCGTCCAGAGGAGCAGAGGCGGAAGGGGACGGGAAGCGAAAGAGGGAGAGAAAGGGACCGTGGAAGGTCCTTGTCGGCTTAGTGGAGTGTGAACGGGGATTGGGAGAGGGAATCTTGGATTCTGCCGTACAGAGAGATAGAGAGAGAGGGCAAGTAAAGTCAGCCTTGGGCAATTTTTGACCAGCCGAGGAGCAAGCAGACACACCAGTCAACCATTTATCTCCGTCTCTTTAGAATAGCAAAGGCGGCACCACCGGTTGCCGTATTCCAGTTCGGAAGCTCGAGCGAAGCAGCGTGAAAAAAGCAGGTCACAAACGATATTCACGTTCTTGGTTTGTGCCTGAGATGAGACTTTGTGGACAATTAGCCCGCGTGGAGATACGCTGCGTGGTGAGAGTCAGTGAGAGCAGCCAAGGTCAGCAGCGTACCATCGTTTCTAGCATCACATTTTCCCATTCGTGTTTCCGGGCTAGGGCCCAGCATTCCTAGCCAGGACCGTGATGCAATTGGCTTTCGTCAAGCGTCGAAGTGCCCTCTTCGTTAGCTACGGAGTTCCCGTACGATGTTATGTGCGGACAGTAGAAGGCGGGAGGCAGAGTTTGTGATGCCGTGACTGTGACCAGCAAGTAACCAGTTTGAGAGCGCTAGCGTTTTAACTTGATAATGTTGCAACGAGTTGCGTGAATAAGCTAGCCCAAAGGTGCGGGGCGAGCCGTACTATAAACTTGCCTACCAAAATTCTACTTATGTCTCGAGCGGCGTCTGGGCCACAACTTTTTTCGGTGTTTCCCAAAAGGGCAGGTTACCTACCAAATCGGGCAGGAGCACAAGTGGGCAGTCGAAGTAGTCAAAAGCGAAGATATGCGTAAGAAAATACAAGGGGGGGGTGACCTGCCGAACGGCCTGTGTAGGGAAAGTAGAAAATGGGGCGTAGAGTTTTCGAGTGTATATGTACAAGTATCGAGGATACCTGGCATGGTGGGGAGATAGTGTTTGTAATGGTATAGAATGAATGGAGGAAAGGGTAAAGTGGGAACGGTGTAGAAAGAAGTGTATAGAGCAGGAAAGGGCACCTGTTAAGTGCATGGAAGACATAGTGGGAGCTATACCATAGCGGCGTCATAACGCGTGTTTGGAGTACCCCAAGACATGAGCAATGAATAGATCTCCCAAACCATCGCCGAATAACCGCCATTCTTTCGCACAAAGGTTTGCAACTTGAATGGCATCGCGGAGATATCGATGAGGTACAATCACGGGCTGTCGCTTTGGGAAACGGTCGACAAGAGTGAAGTCGGAGGATAGGGTAGTCGCAGCCGCCTGCGATGGCAGTATCACCATCAGGACATTTCGTTGCCGCCACTGCCCGCCAGTGGCTGAAAACGTGGCAAACAAATGAGAATGAGGCGTAGTCGGCATTCGGTAGAACGTGCGCCGTCCTTCGTTTCACAGCTCGCATGATGAAGGAAGTTCGGCGCGGCAGTTGCAAGATAGTCGTGAAATCTATGGCCCCAACGACGACAAAAGTGCTTTCAAGCACCGCTGTCATCAGACACCAGCCTACGAAGCAGAGAGCGCCGAGATGGCGGCGTATGATGCAACGTGGTTCACGCATGGGGAGATAGGGTCGCCGCCGCGATTGGTGTACTCTGTGGAGAGATGGCCACCCGAGATATGTGATGTGGCGAAGAAAATTTGTCGAGAGGTGGATTTCGAGTGAGGAATAGAGACAGACGGGACGTGTCGGTGTAGCGGGGTCAAATGGTGGTGAAAGAAAAGTGCTGAGCCGACATGTCGATGGATGTGGGGTTTGGGTAGCCGGATCTTGGCGAATGCTCCACATGAAGACGGGAAAACATTGGGCGGATAGATTTAGCTCTCCACTTGCTTTCCGTGACAGCAAAGAACGATGGGGAGATTTTTCGGTACAGTCCCGACAACCCATGGACAAAAGGCTGCTTGCAGTTGGGAGGGATGCGGTTTTAAAGGTTGTCGTCGCTGTAAAGCGGCTTCAGTTCAGAGTTTGGCAGCAACAGCGTTGCCACGTACCCAAAGTTCCGCGCCTTCTTTCAATTTTGCCATCTCTGCCAGGATTGCGACTCGTCTTGGAGAGTGGTAAGAAGATTTGGCTACCAAGAGCGCACAAAAAAGTCATGTCAGCGGGAGGCATTTCAGCAGTGTGAAGGAAGCTTACCGCAGTCCGCTTCGTTTTCATCGTGCTAAGTCCTGCTTCGCTGGAAGCATAGCCCGGACGACTTTCACCAGTCAGGCTGATTGTCTCTTTCTGGTCGTCTTGCATGACTGCCGCGATACCGAATGCAGTACCGCCTGGTAGGCTCTGGCTCTCCTCACTCGCGGATGTCTTCGCGCCAGAGGCGACCACGGGCTGAGGACCAAGCAAAAGAAGAGTGTGCAAGCTAAGCAACAGTTTGAGCAGACATCGCAATGGGTGGACGGAAAACGCACCAGAGTCCGTGCACGCCTTATATGCCGTAGAAACTAGTGCTTGTATGAGCGCACAGCGAGCGCATAACCGAGAGATGGATGCATTGCATGCAAGGCAGATGGGAGGAGCGAAGAGGGATCTGGAAGCAGTGACGAGTGTCACGTTTTTTCTTCTCCAAGTTCGACCTCCGCCCACCGGAAGGTCCGGCACCTGCTCCTGTTCCTTCCACAACACCCACCAGAGAGCCCAAGGCTCTAAGAAAGTCACCCATAAAGACGCTTGCCAATTAGCCTCCGGACCAGATCGCCGCCGCGGCTGGCGCGGCCCGTTCCATAGTGCATGCACTCAAAGAACAGCAAAGAACTTCGCTCGCATGCATAGTCCGCGAGCACAGTTACCAGCTCCTGAACAGCCCGAGTGGCTTGCAAAATCACACCCACACTGCGACGCATGGAATTATTCACCGATCTGCTGCGGCAATCATCGGCGTTGGTTGGTCGTCGACTTCCAACCGCACGAAACGATTCTCTCAAGGCTGGCGTCGGCCTCGGGCCGGGGCGACACACCCAATTAGCTAGAGGTGGATCCGCACGAGCTGATCGAGAATTACTACTTGCTGCTGGGTACTGTATCCATGCCCTTGGCGTTTCACTCAACTGCATGCGCCATTCACACCACTGCTCCCCCCGACACGCGATTTCATTCAGATCACCTCCGGGCAGCTCCGTATTCAAATAGTCAAGGCAACGGCTCCGCAATCTGGCCTATAGGGGGCGGCGTGGGCCGACGTTTGTATCCCTCGTCCCTCGCCGCCTCCTCAATCGAGGATGGCATTCAATTACAAGGCGAAAATCGTGGGGCCTTATTTGTTTCACAGAGTGGGCGGACGCCATTTCTTTCTTCTCTTGCCTCCCCCACTCCGACGCATGGCCGGCCTTCCTTCACTGAATATCATCACCGGGTGCGTTTTTGTTAACCGTGTTGTGTGTATGCCAACGCTTTCCCCGCAGCCCTTTGCTCGTCGGGACGTGGGTCAGTTCGGTGCGACACTACTCCTCGTCATTGCACCAACCACTAATGCGCGGGCACAGCTTCTCTACAGCGCCGAGGTTGGCCAGGTCATCAAGTACTTCCGCACGTTTCCGGACGACGACTGGCAGCTCAAGTCGTTCGTATTGCTTTGCTGGCTTGTGGACACCGTCGCCGCTGTGGAGGGCTATGCCGCGGTCTATTTGTACACGATCACCCATGCGAGCGATGCAGCCTACCTCAGCAGGCAAAACTGGGCGAGTTGACCTCTGAACAGGCAAAGATATTCCTGACGCCAGACTGCAGACATTCCCGCTCCTCAGCGTCACCACGGGCGTCGTGGCTGCACTGGTACAGTGCTTCTTGGTCGTCCGATATCTGCGCTTGTGAGTGTGTCATCGCAGGTAGAGTTCTTCGCTGACCGGGAACCCCGCCGCGCATCAGCTCACGAAACTTCTTATTTTCGCTGTTCCTTTTCCTCGTTATCGGACTGGCCGTGGGTATCTTCAGCAGCTTCCTCCTCTCCTAGTACTCACGCAGTCGCACTCTGCAGCTCACCGCGTCAATCATTGCCTCTGTAGTAGTCAGCCGCTATCCACTCTACACCGACCGCGGACGGCTCGAACGCCCCGCCACGTCGGTCGTCCAACGCCCTTCCCGCTTTCCCTGCTAACCCGCATGGCAGGCTGTGGATCGTCTCGCAGGCCGTCACCGACGTCATCATCGCGCTCGCGCTGCTTTGGGAGTTCCGCAAGGCGCGTAGCGTCTTTTGCGACACTCAAAGGTACGTGCCGCCGCCCCGCCCATCCTTGAGCCCGTTTTGACCTGAATTTACAGCGTGCTTAATCGCCTGGCGCGCCAGACCATCCAAACCGGTGGCGCGACTGCGACCGTAGCGACAGCCACGCTCGTCGCGTACCTCGTCAACAAGGAGAGCAACGGCATGTCTACCCGCTAAACGGTCGAGTAGTGCTGATGCCTATTGCAGTGTCCCTGGGGATTGCATATTCCATCGGGCGGGTGTACGTCTTGACAATGGTATACCCTTCCGTACCCGTGCTGCTGTGCAGCACTCACGCTGATATCCTGCAGCTTTCTAACCTCAACGCGCGGAAGCGGCTGGCTCCCGGCATCAGCAGGAGCGACGAGGCCATAACTGTGACGGCGCTGCACTTCCACAGCGATGGCGCGCCCCTCAGCGAGCTTGTCCCCAATGGAATCAGTGCGTCTTTATATTCATATGGGCCTTGTTCGGCGGCTCTGCACTGGCACTCACTGTGCGTCCAGACGTCCACCACAATGCAGGCGCGAATATTGACCCAGAGCACGGCACTCGCGGCAAGGCCACGCTGGCGCCGAACGTGCGTGTTTTTGTCCGGCTCCAGGAAAGCCTGATCTGAAATTGTCATAGCGAGCACGGTCGAACGCCGCGGGGGAAGCGCGAACGGAAAGCGATTCAGATCGCGACGACTCAGTGAAGGGTGGGGTGTGGTTTACCAAGGCATAATGTGCGCCGTTTGCGAGATACGTTCATCCAACACTTGTAGTAGTAAACTTACATAATTTGTCGATCATTTTTTCACAGCTCAAAAAAAAAGTTTAAACACTGTCCTGTCCTAAGAACAGTTCTTAGGAAATCTGTCTTGTATCCCACTTGATGCTGATAAGCTTTTTGCTCCCTTATGAATATTACATACTATAGAGTGTCTTGGATCGTACGTGTAAATTTTAAAACAACAAACCAGTTTATTTGGGGTGCCAGCCACCAGCTTCAAATGTTGCTCCAAAACTTTTTGTAATTTTATGCATGTCAAAGAGTCCATGAAATCTCAAGGTCTACATGCCATACACTAATGCTGGCAGTGTGTATATTTCCAGAGATGGTTCACTCATTCCTAATCATGATTTTGTGAATTAATTGAGAATAGTAATAGCTTTAAATTGGACTTGTTTATGGTACTTAATGCAAAATCTCAGTTTTACAGCTTTGTATCCCAATTAAACTCTTGACAGCTTTTGGTGATAATCAAAATTTCTTAAAAAGGCAATAGAGTTGAGGTTTGGTTCATAAACTCCTACAAATCAAACAGAAACCTAGGAGCTAACCCAGTCTACTACCAAATTCAGGCAAGAGCAAGTCTTTGTAACAGAATGATACTCTGTGATAGGCCAACATCAGGAAAAAGTTTTCCTACAGTAGCCAGGTGGGAAGATATGTAGTCAATATAGGATCTGCATTTGATCTGTAGCAAGATATAGTTAACTGTAGCTAACAGTACTGCAATATACCAACATGTAGCATTTGTAGCTGACAGAGAACCAAACTGTCATTTTAACTTTATCCGGAAACATTTCATTTTCATAAGCAGATGTGGGGAACATGTTACTGGTATTGATAGTACCAGGGAAGTATCTAAATTTAAAACTCCTCACTTCTGTAGTATATATAGCAGATGGGATGTCTCTGTAGCACGTCTCCAAGCTTTGTAGTCAAATATTGCACAATGTACCCATAGAAGGACAAAGATATTAGAAAGTGTCAAAATCTGTAAATGCGCGGAAAGCGCAGTAACCTCAGTCTCCCGCTATATGGGATCAAAGACTGTATTAACTACCTGTAAATGCGCGGAAAGCGCAGTAACTAAGTACAGTAAGTATTTATATAAGTTAAGTAAGTAAAGTAACATACCCTCAGTCTCCCGCTATATTGAGGATCTTTGGAGAGAATGATAGCTGCACGATTATCACATCGTAGTTCAGTAGCTCCCTGTTGTGGTTGACCTATTTCTTCAAAGAATGATCTAAGCCATGCTAAATGTTGTCCAGCATTAGCAAGTCCAATAAACTCGCTTTCTGTAGAGGATAGAGCTACAAGACTTTGTCTTCGGCTTGACCACCCAATAGCTGCTTTTGCAGAAAGAAATACATAGCCTGATGTTGACCTTGAAGTATCTCTGTCACCATTCCAGTCTGCATCTGAGTAGCCTATGAAGTTTAGATCCATGCCTATATCAGATCCATCATATGTCAGACCCCAATCTTTGGTAGTCTTCAGATATCTGAGAACTCTCTTGGCTGTCTCCCAGTGGCATGCTTTTGGATTTGCACTATAATGACCCAAAACTCCAGCAACATATGCTAAGTCAGGTCTGGTATCTAGCATTGCATACATGATAGACCCCACAATACTTTGATATGGCATAATTGGTCCATTTTGAACAAGCTGTTTCTTGTGGATTGTTTCATCATTTTCAGGATCTATAATAGACAATTGCTGTCTTGGAGGCATAGGTGTTTTGACACCATTTTGAGTATCCTGCATTCCATAGCGCTCTAAGACCTTGCTAATATACTGGGCTTGACTTAGACGGATCCGATGCTGTTTGCGATTTCTAGTAATTTCAATTCCTAGAAGATATCTGGCTGGACCTAAATCTCTCATTTGTCAGGGGAACCCCCGCTTCGACCTCCTTCGGACCCTCCGAACGCATCCGAGGCGTATCCGACCGGCGACCCCTCGGACGCTCCGACCCACCCTGACCATCGTCCACGGCCTCCTTTGCCCGCACAATCACCGATCCGTCAAGACCCTCCCAACGATCACCTTGGGACAGAGCTTGCGACGCCGCTCAGGCCTTCTGCGCTCTACGTCGGCAGTTACGGACGACCAGTATATAGTTGGCGCCCTAGCAGGCGGACCCTTAGAGTTTCTTCTCTTTGGATCCTCCCCTGCTAGGTCGGTCCCTCCGTGTATTTCCGTAGCTTCTATTCACGCTTTGGATCCTCCCCTGCTAGGCTTTCGTCGGAGTCTCAAATCTTGGATGCCAGGATAAGGTATAAGCGTCTTAACTATTTCGTCAGGTGGAAAGGCTACGATGCTTCACACGACTCGTGGGTTCGGTTCGACCGTGTCTTTGCGCCAGACAAGATTGCGGACTTCTATCGGAGGTACCCGGGTAAACCACGGCACATCGCCTCAGCGACCTTCGACTCCTTGCCCTTTCGAACTATGCGTCGGGACGCCGTATTCAAAGGGGGGGGGTGATGTCAGGGGAACCCCCACTTCGGCCTCCTTCGGACCCTCCGAACGCATCCGAGGCGCATCCGACCGGCGCCCCCTCGGACGCTCCGACCCACCCCGACCATCGTCCACGGCCTCCTTCGCCCGCACAATTACCAATCTGTCAAGACCCTCCCAACGATCACCTTGGGACAGAGCCTGCGACGCCGCTCAGGCCTTCTGCGCTCTACGTCGGCAGTTACGGACAACCAGTATATAGTTGGCGCCCTAGCAGGCGGACCCTTAGAGTTTCTTCTCTTTGGATCCTCCCCTGCTAGGTCGGTCCCTCCGTGTATTTCCGTAGCTTCTATTCACGCTTTGGATCCTCCCCTGCTAGGCTTTCGTCGGAGTCTCCAGGGTTGCCCTTACATCATTTTGAATGTAGATTTTAATGTCTCTTTGATCTGTGCCATAAACTCTTTGGTAGTTGTGGCTAGAAGTAGATCATCCACATAGACTAGTAGGAAACAAGTTTGTTTTCCTTTCTGATAGACATAGAGACAAGTCTCAGCATTAAGCCTGTAAAATCCTAGTTTTAACAGTGCTGTATCAAGAGTATGATTCCAAGTATGTCCAGCTTAGTGTAGACCATAAACTGAACGTTTTAGAAGCCAGCAATATCCTTCAGGGAGATTTGCATCTTCTGGAGCCATCATATAGACTTGTTCCTGTAGTTCCCCATTCAAAAAAGCAGTAGAAACATCCATTTGATCTAGTTCAAGATCATATTTTGCTGCTAAGGCACAAAGGATTCTGATTGACTCTAAGTTTGCAGTTGGAGCAAAAACTTCCTTATAGTCAATACCTTCCTTCTGTAAATCACCTCTAGCAACAATACGGACTTTGAAACGAGTAATGTCCCCTTTCTCATCTGTTTTAATGTTGGGAATAACTTTGGATTTTATTGGCTTGACTCCTTCAGGAAGTTTTACCACTTCAATAACTCCATTTTCAATAAATGCAGAAATCTCTTCTTTAAATGCTGCTCTCCAATAGTCTTCATCTGGACCACTTCTAGCAGCCTCCCAATTTGGAGGATCACGAGGACTGCAGTGGCATAAGCAACATCTTGCACATCTTCCAGAGTAGCTAAGAGGACAGCATGATCTGTGATATCAAAAAGAGCTTCTGGAATTTTATCTGCTTCTGGAGTTTGTACTGGCTCTAGATTTGGAGCTGAACGTAAACTTTGCGGACCTGAGGCAATCCGTTCATATTCAGCATTCTTATGTTTTGCAAGGACTTTAGGTCTATTGCTTCTCCTAGGAGCTATTTGCTCAGGAGGTATAACATTTGGCATCTGTGCTGGAATCTGTATAGGACCAGGGTTCTTATCTGGTGGTGGTGCTATAATAGAACCCCCCTACTGAACTCTGTACTGGTGTAGATGGGAAAACAGGTATATCATCCTGATCATCATCAAAATATGGTGTTTCCCTCTTACGCAATATCTGTGACATGTGTTCAAGTTTATGTGTTGAATCATTCACAGGCTCCAGTTTAGGCTGATAATCAGTGAAATGATGATCATCATCAAACTTCACATGAGTGGCAGTGGTTCCATCTTTATTGATAACTAAAAGATCATAGGCATTGCTGTTTTCATGGTAGCCAACAAATACACATCTTTGTGTTTTGTCCCCAAATTTCCTAGCCTGTTTTGCATCTGGAATTTTTGGATATGCTCTACAACCCCAACGGTGCAGTCGTTTGATATTCACAGGCCAATCATACAGTATTGTATGAGGAATGCGATAATTCTTAGAAGCAGTTGGGGTCCTGTTCAATGTGTAGGCAGCAGCTAACATGGCCCAAGTCCAAAATTTACGAGGTAACCTAGAATCAACTAGCATTGTTATAGCTCTAGTCACTAGAGTTTGATTCATTCTTTCAGCAACACCATTTTGTTCAGGTGTATATGGAGCTGTAGTTTCATGAATGATTCCCTGGTTTTTGAATTCAATTTCCATCTGATTAGAGGTAAATTCACCACCCCCATCAGTACGAAAGAATCTAATCCAGCCAGGACAGAATTCCCAATTGGCAATATTTTGTTTGAAATGCTCTTCTGTGGTTTTTCTCCATTCCTTGAGTAACTTGTAGACTTTAGATTTCTTATCTGTAAGCAAAACCCAAGTATGTGATGAAAAATGATCAATAATGACAATCCAATATCTAATACCACCAGGACCTTCAGGTGTCACTGGACCTCCTACATCACATGAGACAATATCTAGAGGTCCATGAGCTACAGTTTGGCTGTTTGGGAAGGGCAACTTTTTCATTTTCCCAATAACACAAGATTCACAAAGTTTAGGTTGACCTGTCAATATTGTGATTTCACCAAGTTGACCTTTCTGAACTGCCTTCTGCAGATGTTGCATATTTGTATGTCCAGAGATTCTGTGAAGGTGGTTGATATCAATAGCAAATAGTGCTTGAGGATC